ATGTTTTTGTTTTGCAACACCTCGTTGAAGATTTGGAAACACTATTCAGGAATAGCATGGCAAAAGAAGGTGTTGAGTTTAAGGTCGATGACACAGAGGTCATATATAGTGCTTTCGGCGATGGTACGCAATTGCTTCTCAAGGGTGATGATGCGAAAATTCGGAGGGTTGTCATTAATCTACTATCGAATGTTTGTTGGGCCGGTTATGAGGTTTTGAATATATTCTAACCTCTTACTAGGCATATAAGTTTACTTCAAAGGGGACCGTCAGTCTCAAGGTGATCACGAAAAAAGTCCAGAAGGGGTCTTTGGAGCTAAGGTTTGAGGTCAAGGTGATACTATTTGCATCGTTTAATGTTATCACGTCAATATATAACTAACAGCCATAGGACACTGGCATTGGAATCGCTGAGGATCATTTGAAGAGGCTATTTCTTCCCTTTGAAGAAATTGCAGCTGCCGATATCTCAACTGGCCATTATGGCACAGGGTTTGGTTTAGCTATCGCAAAAAGCGTATGTATCTCTCTCTCATGCCTGAGAAAATAATTCTGAAATTGACAGTTTGCCACAATTCTTCGGGGGAGTATTGGATGCCAATCTGTTGTTGACCAAGGCTCTACCTTCTGGTTTTCCTTACCTTGTCTCCGGCCTCCAAAGAATTCTCCAGTAACAATCCCACGTAGAGAAGACAGCCTAGCTCATGACATGGGTGTTGTTCTCCGAATCGGCGACTTACATTCTGCAATCAGGCATGATTATTGGAAGAAACAAAAGGTCTCAATAAAGGGAACAAATGTCTTGATTGTTGAAGATAATTGGTCTCACCAAGTTGTGACTGCTAAGAGGATGGAGAAAATGGGCTGCAATGTACAAGTCGCAATCAATGGACAGAACGCAATCTCGAGAATGAAAAAAGGGGAGCTCAAGTCTCTAGATATTATATTCATGGATCTTCAGATGCCGTTACTGGTTTGTCTCCGGTTCACTAAATATACAATTGACCTTGTTCTAACCATTGTGAAATACGAATAGGACGGCTACGAAACTACTGCGATCATTCGCAAGGCGGAAGATCCTGGTCTAGTTGCCTATAAAGATGTTCCAATTGTTGCTGTTACGGCAACAGAAATGGCCGGTGATCGTGATCGTGCAAGAGAAGCCGGAATGAATGACTTCACACTAAAGCCGCTAAACAACAATTCGCTCAGGGAAACCATCGAGAGATTTCTTGAAAAAGAAGCAGCAAAGAACTTCCATGAAGATTTTTCCGTGCAATCATTTCTCCCTCGTCTAAACGAAATTCCGCCATTATCCGTGGGCAGAACTGATGGTAATACTCGTAGCTCGCAGGCTTGAGAAAGTTTCTTTTCGATTCCAGACTTGCTGAGGGGTAACGAAAGGCTCATTACCGCCCTGCCAGGTTGAGCCATTAGTATAAAAAGGGTATAAAGCTTGTACTCCGGATAAAAGAAATCGGGAATGAGAGAGTTCCCAGGAGTCAGTTAATCCGTAGAGCACTCTCTTTGTTAGAATAGCTCGTTAGATACAAATAATGACTTTTCTGTACTCAAGAATATTCACATGTACAGTGTGCGCGATCATCAGATGAAATCACAAGCCTAAGATATGAATCACATGCAGAAAAATACCCCCCAACGCCCGCGCTTTTGGTTCCGTACTATAGTCGTATTTACTATAGTTGTTCACTTCTCTCCGCTCGCGATCGTGGTTGTTTATATATCGGTTGAGGGCATCGCAAAGTACTGCAGAAAAGCGCAAAAGTATTTCCCACTACATGTATGTAATCTCGCGCAGACTCCGTAGTATGTACTCAAACCCGTAATTGCAATTACTTACCTCTCCGGTCAGAATGGAGAAACTACATATAATTAATTACAGCTTCTGGCGGGGTTTTGGCACAAGACCAACTATATCGAGGATTGACTGTGTAATCGGGTGCTACCTAACCGAGAAGAGTGTTGAGGTCATCATATGGTATCACTCGCAAGCGTTGCCAAGAACATTTCGCTTAACTTGAACAGGTTAGCCCCAGCAATAAATAGATCATTACCAGATGACGATGTAAACAATCTTTTTTTATCACAAGGCCGGGTATTCGACCACAATGTTTTAAAAGACACGTTTCTTCCCTCTTTGTTTTCTTTCCTCACCACCATCCTTCCCGTACGCGCATTGTGTAAACCGCGACACAACCAATGATAAGCAGGACATTTAATTCGGTGTTCCTGTTTAAAATACATGTATGTTTACACGGAGGGAAGGGGATGGTCAAAATTGATACCAGAAGTCAGTCACGCCAATTACTGTTCTCCATGAGACGAGACGCGTCTTGCAGTCTTTACGCGACGCTCTTGTCTTGAACAGCTCGACACCAATTGCAAATATGTTTTTAGTCTCGAGACCGGCTTGAAATCTGCAAAGATTTCCGAGCGTATCAACACCACATAAATTCAATAGATTATGTGCCCGGAAGCCGTAAGGCATTATTTAGATCCTCGTAAGCATGCATACCCCCCCCCCCCCCCCCCTTTCTTTCTTCCCGCCCTGATATATTACTGAAGCCGTCAATACTAACTCAATCCATATATACAGGGCAGCGGAGGTTATTCCAGCTGCTAAGATTGAAAATGACCCCCCCGGGGTTGTTTTTAAGGGAAGGATACACCTCTACAGTACAGTCCTGGTGTGTCCACCGAATAGGGGAGGATACACCTGTACTTGTACAGTCCTGGTGTGTCCACCGAATAGGGGAGGATACACCTATAGTTCACAGTCTCCCCCTATCTGCGCCTGCGATCCTGCGCCCCGAGTGAGCCCGTCCTTCGCCCTATGAGCCTGTTGTTGAGAAGAAGAAGACGATCAAATGTATATATAATACTCTCCAATATTTATATCGATATCAAGTATTGACATGCGGGCTAACCGTGAATGGATTCTCTTGCGTAGTTACAACATCAACAACATCAACAACTTCACTGTCTGCGCCTGCGTTCCTGCGTCCCGAGTGAGCCTGTCCTTCGCCCCATAGGACTTCCGTGGTAGTTGTTGAAATTGAACACCGCGGGCTGGAGTATCAGGCGCCGAGGAAGACGATCAAACTCAGGCGCCGAGGAAGACGATCAAATCCAGGCGCCGAGGAAGACGATCAAATGTATGTATAACATTCTCCAATACTTATGTCGATATCTAGTATCGATATGGGAGCTAACCTGATATAGTCGGTTTGTGTTTTCTTGCGGAGTCAGCATCAACAACTCCAGCAACATCCAGCCGCCAACCCCATCCGAAGGAAAAGGAAAAATTAGGCCTGTGCTCTTGCTGCCTGCTCCATGTGGTACAGTACAATCTCCTTATAAGGGTACGTCGGGACCGAAATTTGGTACCCTTATAGAGCCGTTACCTTTATAGGAGGAGCAAATTTGTACCTACGAAGCCCAATGGGGACCCAAACACCTACCCTTATAAGGCGAATACCCTTATAACCCGAACCCTTATAAGGAGATTGTACTGTACTCTATAAGCCCTCTTGAAGTTTTGTCTCGAATAACTCTACACCAAGCACTTTTGGTCTTGAGACAAGACTACGCACCTGTTGCATCAAATTCCATCCGGTGTGGAAGTCCTGTTTCACCAAATTCCATCCTCTGCGTTGGTATGATGGGTTCGATAACGTACCTGTGGTGCTCTCTATAACATAAGCCCTCTTGAAGTATTGTCTCGAATAGCTCAACACCGAGGACTTCTGGTCTCGAGGCCGGCTTGAAGACTTCGCACCTGGTTCATCAAATTCCATCTGGTGCGGAGGCCCTGTTTCACCAAATTCCATCCGGTGTGGAGGCCTTCATCAAATTCCATCCGGTGCGAGGCGTGTGTCCTACTGACTGAGCCTTGGTCTCGTCTCGAACAACTCGACACCAAGCACTTTTGGTCTTGAGGACGGCTTGCAGACTACACACCTGTTTCATCAAATTCCATTTGGTGCGAGACGTGTGTCCTACTGACTGAGCGGTGCGGGGCGTGTGTGTCCTACTGACTGAGCCTTGGTCTCGTCTCGAACAACCCGACACCAAGCACTTTTGGTCTTGAGGACGGCTTGCAGACTACACACCCACCTGTTTCATCAAATTCCATCCTCTGCGGGTGGGGGGGGGCTGGCTGAGAGATCTGGGGTTGTTGATGGCGCTGGGAAGGAGATAGGCTGCTGTGTAGTTAGATACCAATTTCGTTTGAATAAAAAGTCTAAAACCAACTCTTGCAGTTGTTCCTTGGTGATAGATTACGTACGTACGTGCTTGCTGTCTGTCGATGGGTGTTTTGAGTACTGTTTTCTGCGTAGAAGTGATTCGATGGAGTAGATGTATACTCACAGAGTGGTGGTCAGGATCAAGACTGCTCGAGGCCACCATAAGAGGGGTCAATCGCAACCACATTACGTACAGCGAGGCAACTAGGCTGGTTGGTACACGAATACTTTCTGGACACATATTCGCTTCGGTAAACCGTTTCCAGTATCGCTTCTGGCATTGTCATGATGGGGCCAGTTGTTGTTTGCTTACGGCGAGGGACCGTGGTGTTTTCGATTCGGATTGCCGAATTAAACAAAGAAAAAAAGATTCGGATTGCCAAGGCCGAGTGATGGCCTGTGACGGTGCTGTAACGAATAGTGCGTGATCGACGCTCCGGGTGAGTCTTCAGGAGAGGGTTCGATTCGTCTTTCCTCAGACGTTGCTGTGCGAATAGGTGCTGCCTGGAGTCTTGGGGTGTTTTCTTGTATCTGTGTCCCTAGGATGACAGAAAGCTTGCTTGCTTTGTAGGATTCCTTTGTCGTTTGCGGCGATGCTTAACATTGTTCGCTCTTGATATTGTTCGTGTCGGCGAGCAGGGCAACGTGCTTGGGAAAAGGTATGGAGAGTAGACTTCTTCATGATACATGCCTATATGTGCACCCCGACACCTGCGGAGCTGTACTATCGCGATGGCGATATTCAGTACCTTCCTCAACTCCGCCTTCAAGCCAAAATTCCAACGCATACTCCTCATCAATGCCGGTCTTCTCTTCACCATGTAAGCCACCCCCCATCCCCACCCCCATCCCCACCACCATACTCACCCCCACCACAGCACCCTCTTCCTCCTCCTCAACCCCCTGCCCGCCCCAACCCCCCTCCACCTCCACCTCCCCACCCCCCCTCCCCAGCCCCCGCCCCCCCAACAAACCTACAACGCCTCCAAGCTCGCCCTCCTCATCGAAGACCGCCCCATCCCGCACCTCGCCCCGCTCCTCCTGCACATGACCACCGTCGTGCCCCCCGACTGGCACTTCCTCTTCCTCGGCTCCCGCGCCTCCATCGCGCACCTAACCCGCTCGCACGCCATCCGGCACCAAGTCTCGCTCGGCAAGCTCGCGCTCACGCTCATCCCGCCCAGGGCCAACGTCACCGGGCAGGAGGCGCTCTCGCAGACGCTCACCGACCCGTGGTTCTGGACGTGGCTCGGCGGCGCCGAGCGCTGGCGGTGGGAGGAGCAGTGGGTTGACGGCGACGGCGGCGGGGAGGGCGCAGGGCGCAGGGCGCAGGTCGAGTGGGTGCTCGTGTTCCAGAGCGACAGCATCCTGTGCGCGAACAGCGGCGTGTCGCTGGACGAGTGGCTGCTGTACGACTGGGTTGGTGCGCCGTGGTGAGTTCTTCCATAACCCCCCCCCCCCCCCCCCCCCCCATTTGTTGGTGTAGCTAGCTAGTTGTGGTGTCTGTGTCCGGGTGGGGGGGTCAATGATTGACTTACCCGTTTTTCCGCGTGTGGCAGGAACATCAACGACGCCTACGGCGGCAACGGCGGCCTCTCGCTGCGCCGCGTGTCCCGCATCCTGCAGATCCTGCGCACGCAGCGGCGCTACGCTTACCACCGCGAGATGGAGGACCTGTGGCTCGTGCGGCGGATCAGCACGCTTCCGGGCGCGCGGATGGCGAACGGGAGCACGGAGGCGGGGTTCAGCGTGGAGGGGGTGTGGGCGGAGGAGCCGATGGGGTACCATCTGGGGGGGTCGGGGGCGGTGATGCCGCTGGCGGTGTGGATGGAGAGGGGCCGCAGGGAGAGCGTGTGGGAGTGGTGTCCGGAGATCAAGATGATTATGGGCATGGAGTTGGTGAATGTGCCTGTGGAGGGGCCGCCGAGGGTGAAGGGGGAGTTCTTGGCGTGGGGGAGTGAGGTGCCGGGGAGGGGGAAGGGGGGGGTAATGATTGATAGGACTGTACTATGGCATCATACATGTAGTTCTGGCGTCTGGCAATAAAGACTACTGGATTTGCTATATATCGTACCGTGTCGATGAATGAGGATGACATTCAGTGAAAAAAAAAGAAAAGAGGCCGCGCTGAACATGCAATGCACAAGCGGCCGCTCGCCCGCGCAAAGCTAGCGGCTTCTGCCCCCTGCGGATGCATCAGTATCCATTTTCTCAGGTACTAGTGAGTTCATCGTTTCCTCCCCCCACCCTCTCCATCATCAGCTCCGCTTGGTCGTCCCTCTCTCTTCATCATCACCATGGACATGTAACGGCAAGAGCAATCAACACCTAAGATACACCAATGCAACTGAGCTAACAAGCCCCTCCCCCTTGAGGTGATTGTTTCTCATCGATCGCCTCGAAGCCAATCACGGCATTACTTGTACATGTATCCTATGCGGATCCCAGAATTACTAGTCGTAACTCTGAACACGTTAGCTTGTCTGGAAAAGCAGTCCATCAACCGAGAATATGAGTTCTTCCGCCACTGTCCGAAAAGCTTTTGCTGCACTGCTGACAGGTTATAATAGGCTGCTGGACCCTATGGTACAATTTAAAAAAGATAACTTATCAGAGATAATGAGATACCTTTTTCACATGCTACGGTATCCTCTGATGGAGGATGTCGTATCCGCAAAAATTGGGTAACTAGGCCCTTATCTCTAGGAAAGCGGCGGGGACGGCACAACAGTGTGACAGCAGTGCGGGGACGGCACACCTGCGTGACAGTACTAGTAGGCACACCTGTGTGAAAACGTCCAAGTCCCGAATGCCTACATGTACATGTAGGCATCATCATGATCACCATCATCATGATCGGTATCACATAGAGGCGGGTATGGGCGTGGTATAGCTCGCCCCATGCCCGCTTTCGCCAGACTCATGTGCATGCTATTCTGTGAGCAAATGTATTTCCTAACTGCTACAAGCCCATCCACTGAAGGAGATGATTTGAAGATGCTGTTGATGGAATTGGATATGCTGGGTTGATAGATTTCGAGATAATCCGCCGGGGAAGAGAAACCTCACGATGAAATTCAGCATCATAATCTGACTTTATCCTCCTAGACAGGATACACAATTTTTTAAATTTAAACTAGACCATTTTAGGCAGGAAATGTCCGCAAAAGGCATACGATATCCTAATCAGGCCGTTAGTTATCTTTTACATCCAACGCGGAAAATCCAGGTCCCTGTCTGTTTATCCTCCCCACGGGTGGTAACTTATCCCGTTTCCACCAAAACCATTGTACCATAGGGGGCATGGATGCGTGTGGGGTTCAGTATCATTCCTGACCACTGTCCTGCAAATCCAGCAACCACTCTGCCCACCGCTACGCCGCAATCCTTACCATCCATGCAGTACTCCCACCCGCAAACAAACCCCACAGGGTCCCCGGGTCCCACTACAGAGCAATCTGCCACCAGTTACCTAGGCCTCCCGGTAGACGCCGCAACATGAACTATCACTCGTCCGTTCCCAACCGCCGCATCCTGGCTTCTGGCTGGCTGGGCTTCTCTCATTTCGCTTATTTAGAGCGGGTATATCAGGGTGCTTGATAAGGGCGATAGATGCGCGCAAGGAACAGCTAGGGAGGGGAAGAGAGGTGCCGGTGGGGATCTACATTGCATGCACAACCGCAATTTCCAACCACTCTTCATGAAATCATTGCTCCATGGGGGGTCCCACCGCAATATCCTACAACATGCCCTCACACGGCTGGGGCCAAAGCCGTCCTGCTAGACGCAGCGATCGATCTGGGAGGGACGCGGCAGTCGCAAGTCCCCACAGAATAAATGAATCGTGATAAACTACCTGCCCAACTAGTAACCTATGTATATACAAAAAAAAAAACCCGGCCGGCCGACCGACCCGCAGCCACCACCCAAGCCCCAAAACGCAGTAAACGCTACCACCTCGCCCACCCCCTCCCCGGCAGTCTCAACCCCTCATCCCACGAGATCCACACCCGCCTCTTCGCCCGCCTCCCCCCCTCATCACTGCACACCGCCACCGCCCACACCCCGTCGTCGCCGCCCACCACCGTCGCATCCCTCAGCACCTCCGGCAGCCACCTACACACGACGCCCTCAGGCAGCGTCGGCGAGTGCGTCCTGCACGGCGGCTCCTCGTCCCCCAGTATGATACCCTCCCCCACCGCGCCCGCCGGCGGCCGCACCCCAAACGCCTTCAGCAGCATCTTGAAGCGGCGCCACGACTTTGGCGACGACCCCGTGGGCGAGTGCAGGTGCTGGTCCAGCGGCGTGCTGGGGAGATAGCAGGCCAGCGGCGCGCATCTCCGGAGGCCCTCGGCCGCATCGGGGATGGTCGCGCCCGTGACGACCTCCTCGTTGGCGCCCGAGACGTTGTAGACCCAGCAGCGCTTGCCAAAGTGGTAGTAGTCGCCGACGGCGACGCCCCAGCGCACCGCCAACAGGTACGACGTCATCTCGGGCGCGTCGGTGCCGGCGATGTTGTAGCCGTCGAGCGGGGGGAGGAGGAGGGAGGTGCGGCGGGAGAGCGTGGTCGCGTTCCAGTTTGTGTAGGTGGTGCTGTAGATGTCGCGCTCCTCGTCGGCGGAGAGGGACAGGTCGGCGAGCGTCTCCGGGTACGGCTTGTAGGTGCTGAAGTGGTGGACGCGCGACGAGGGGCAGGTGAAGATTGTGGAGTCGTAGCGCCAGTGGTTGGACGCTGCGACGGCCTCGTTGACGGGGGAGAGGGCGATTGTGGCTGCGAGAGCGCCGGTGTGGGCGGAGCGGGCTTCGTAGATGTGATAGCGCGGGCCTTTGGCATTCGTCTGCACCTCGGGCGTGTAGAAGTTGTCTGCATCGTCAAGGGTGATGTGGTTGTGGTAGTAGGACGCTGTGGGAGCGTGGCACCATGCGGATCCAGGCGGGTATGAAGGCGGCGCAGGGAGCTCAATTGATGGTATGGGCTGGGTGTACAGCTGTGCGCCAGTGCTGATTGAGTATGTGGTGATATGGTGCAGGAGATCATCGCAGATATCGAGCGACTGCGGCAAAGAAGTGACGAGAAGCAATATCGTCGAGGTGAAATGCGCAGATATAACGCGGCCAGCAAAGGAGACTTTCCAGCTCCTAATCAAGTCTCCCGTGGCCAGAGAAAACAACAAGAATATTCTGCGATCGATCATAAGGGTCAGTACGTCAATCAATCAAGCCCATCTTTGAGGATATTAATACTGATATATAAAAATAATACAAGAAAACTACATACTTTGGATGCTTTGGCTTGCGCGGATTCCCCGGCTCGCCCAGAACCAGCAACACATTTCCATTCTCGGCCCACGAGTAATGGGTCATCAACCTGAAAGGCATCTCCGCCCTGCGGTCCCCTCCCGATCCCGACAGCCCCCCGCCCTCCTCGTCCGCCTCCCCCGCGCCCAAGCCGGCCCGCCCCTCCCACAGCTCCAAATACAGCTCCTTCACCAACGCCATCAAGTCGATTCTCGCAACACACCCATCCTGCCCCTTCGGCCGCCTGCAATCCCATATCCCCAGCCTGCCCGGGCCGCCACACCTGCTGTGGGCCATGACCACAAACCCCTCCGAATACAGCGTCAGCGTCTCCTCGCCGTCGTCCACATCCCAGATCTGCACGGGGTCGCCGCGCAGCAGCCGCGTCCGCCGCAGCAGCCGCGACCGCAGGTCGGCCGCGGTCGTCGGGAAGAGCAGCGAGAGGTTGATGGCGTGCTCGATCTGCGGCGAGCACAGGATCTCGTGCCAGGAGGTGCACACCGAGCGCAGCGCGAACACGGCCGTCGGGGGCAGGTGCAGCAGGATCTGGATCTGCAGCTCGTGCGGGAGGGTGTGGAAGCCGTTCATCGCTTGGTTTTGGTTGCTGGTGGTGTGGTTGTGGTGGTGATCAAGAGGTGGTGGTAGCAGAGAAGGAGGAGGAGGAGGAGGAGGAGGAGGACAAGTCGCGTTGATATCTGTTATTTCTGCCCAGGCAGGTTGAGTGAGAGAGAGACCCTGATTAGTTTTTGTGGGACGAGTTTTGAGTTGTTGTTGGGATTGGGGTGGGGGGGGGGGGGAGGTTATGTGCAGGGGTTAGGGTTAATTGGAGGGATAGGTAGGAAGGCAGGTAAGTAGAGTGGAGGAGTAGAGGAGTGGGAGGAGAGGAGTAGCGTCGACGGGGCGATCGGCGACATGCCCGTGGATCAGTGCGGGAAGCTAGCTCTGCTATTCTAGATGGGCTTCGATAATTGTTCCATTGGGCGAAGCTTGTGTCGTTTTCTTTTCTTTTCCTTTCTACATACGTAGGCAGAGCATTGGGGGCAGGAAGGGGGAAGAAGCAAAAAAGAAAAGAAAAAAAAAAAAAGAAGCATTGGAACGAAACTAACAGAGCACCACCGTTCCTCATGGAAGACCACCACATTCTAGCGTGGGAATATGAATATGTACGAACGGGGGGTGGGGGTGGCCACGTGGGAAGAGGGGGGGGGGGGGAGGGGGGGCCGTGGACAAGACCAAGTACAGTAATCTTTTTTCTTTTAGCTAACTACTTAATAGCATAGTGACGAATTGTGCATGTGCTTGTGCTGCTTGATGCTGGCTGGCGGGCTGGTCCTGGATGTGTTTCAGTAAGCGGAAACATGGAAGTAGGAAACTGCTTAAATAGAAAGTTATCCGACTATAGCTACTTGGCCGTCGACTAGCTTTGGGGGGGGGGAGGGGGGAGCATTGAGGATGGGGATGGAGACTGATGGAAAATGGGGAAGCAGGGAAAAGGAGAAAACTCGAGTTGGTTAACCAGGATACACAACCTCTGAGGTGACACGAGCGGAGGGAGGGGAGGGGGGGTTAGACTAGCTAGATGGCCGGCCCCATTGTAATAGAAGCGGAGTCTATCATAAGGTAGGCATTAACGACGTCTGATAGACGAAGCAGTCAGCTAAGCTAGTCAACCGAAAGCGAGATGTCGGCGTCTGCTAACTCCGTCGTAGGTACATGTAGCTGGGCAATTAGTTATTAGAGAGCACGCAAACAATTGATTCACTCAACCACAAACCCTAGCCCTTACAGTGTCAATCACAGCTTTGCAGGGAAATAGTAGAGTGCCTAGCTCGGTAGCTGACTGTTGTTGCTACAATTAAGTAGGTACTCTACAGTGCCAGCAGATGCAGAAGGAGTGCTTCTAGGCTCAACTCAAGCCTTTTTGAGACAAGACCCTGACTCTCCTCCTCCTCCTCCTCCTCCTCCTCCTCGGATCCTCCTGAACTGCACGTAAAATACGAGGACCTAGCGTACATTCCCAACGTCCCCTTTACGTACGTGGTAGAACATATCAAGTCTCTCCGGTCCAGCTCTGGCCCATCTGCCGCTTAATAATGCAATAATGCAATAATGCAATAATGCAATCCTCTCCTCTAATGCATGCAGCCCCAGTTTCACAACAAACCAGCCCTAACCCTGCCCACCCCCTCCACCCCACGGCAGCTGTCAAAATCCGCTGCCGAGACCCCATCCCATCCCTCATCCAGTCAAGAGGCTACTAATACTTCAATTCCCGGTTAGCGTGGAGCAGCTAGCTACTAAACAGCCGCAATCGCCCGCATTCGAACGGTAACCCTCTCATCTCAGCTCACGACAACCTCACTACTACCTCACTACTACCTCACTACAGCTACTAGAACAATAAGCTACCAAGGTACCTGTACCCGCCCACCAAGGTTCCTACGCCCCGCCGAGCCCATTAGGGTTCTCACTCACGCCCAGAACCAAAATCAGCGCTACAAGCTAGCTGTTTAACAAGCAAGAAAGAGCAGGAAAAAGGGAAAGAAAAAATAGAATAGCTAGCCAGCCAAAAAATATATATATATAAAGCCCACAATGCAGATCCTCCCATTTATATTGACGCAGCTCCCACAGTTTGTGTTTAATCTCACGAACCCAACATCTTCCTCCTCTACACCCAGCACAACAGCAGTAGGAACAGCAGCAACAGGTGCAGCAGCAAACATATCTCCAGAGATGCAGACCGGACGCTATACCCTCCCCGCGCTCCCATACGCTTATGACGTTTGCCCCCCTCTCCCTCATCCCCCCTCCCTCCGCTCTGCTAACAAGCAAATAGGCGCTCGAGCCCTACATCTCCAGCACAATCATGACGCTCCACCACACCAAGCACCACCAAGCTTACGTCACGAACCTCAACGCCGCGCTCTCCCAAGAGGCCACGGACGTGACCAGCCAGATTGCGCTGCAGGCGCAGATCCGCTTCAATGGCGGCGGGCACATCAACCATTCGCTGTTCTGGAAGAACCTTGCGCCCGCGGGGGCGGACGAGGCGAGGGTGGAGGCGGCGCCGAGGCTGGTGCAGGCGATTGAGGAGAGGTTTGGCGGCTTGGAGAGGTTTAAGGAAAGGTTTGGAAAGGTCCTGTTGGGGCTGCAGGGGAGTGGGTGGGGGTGGCTTGTGAAGGATGCGGAGGGTAGGCTTGAGATTGAGACTACCAAGGATCAGGACCCGGTTGCGAGTGGAAAGCAGGTGGTCCTTGGGGTGGACATGTGGGAGCATGCCTATTATATTCAGGTTATTCCCTTTCCCTTAGTTTTTGGTATCGGCGACTAACTGTGTGGATAGTATTATAACAATAAGGCGGCCTATGTCGAGGGCATCTGGAATATCGTTAACTGGGAGGAGTGCGAGAAGAGGTTCCTGGGACAGTCAGAGCTCTCTTTGTAGATGGCCTGGATACCTGGCTTGTCTTTATAAGTGCAAGTGCACGTAGATAGCACAATAAGTATATGATTGATGATATCATGCATATAGGTGTCCTGATGCTTTTGGGTGTTCCGTTTAAGATTTTGTGTTTTGTGATTATAAACGTTCTCGCGTGATAGGCCAGAAATGTCATATCGAATGTATTCTATATAATGATAGATAAGAAGGGCGCAAAGATACGAAGTGAAGGACGCGTGCGATTGAAAAGAGAGGTCAGGAGAAGAAATGAGAGTTTATAAAGAAGGAAACTTCGCCAAGTTAAACCTATAGGTGGCATGTGCGGGTATACTAGTAACATGTCAGAAAGGTTTAATTGCTGAAAGCGTGGCATCATTATGGGTAGCAGTAAATGTGACCTAATCGTATTAATACGCTGGAGGTCGGTATTCCATATAGAGATCAGAGTAACGCAAAGTACGGCTAGGTAGCACTTGAGGGAGCAGTAAGCCGCAGTTCCAGGGTGGGGACATCCGAAGGCTTTTTACAGCAACCCAGACCTTGATACGTAACACAGAAATACTGCAGTATCGTGTCTACTTTTAAAGCCCTAAATATATAGCTAGATTAAAGTTGAGCCCCATCTTGAGTTACCGGGACCAAGAGGCACACTTCAGATCGATTTCAGATGTTCCAATTAGTCTAGTCATGATATATCACTCAGCCGCATCACATGTGATATGATACGTGATTACCCAGAATACTAGAAGTAGGCCATGCTCGCCGTATAACGACTCTTCTAAAACTTGGGATGATGATTGAAAGAATTGTTGTTGGCAGAAAAGCTGAATATCGATCTCATCACAGAATTCTGCAGAGGCTGTACCGAATTTCTGCGAGGCTGGTCATTGGTCCTCAATTTTCCCGGTGAACGGCGGCAAGTATAAATGCGGGTACGGCTGCTCATCTATCAGATATCATATCAGATGGCTACCTAGTATATATTCAATCCCATTCAGAAGAGATTTCTCGAGCCCATGGTGCTGCGAAAAGACTTGATCGCGGTAGGTGTGGATGAAACGTAGTTAGGTAGATGGAAAAGAAAACAAATGTTCTGACTCAATTCTGCCAGCTCGCTTGATTGACCAATGAGGGATAAACCATTCATGTGGGGTTGAACAAAGTTTGAAGACATCTGCAGGTATGTAGATGCGATATAAGTGGTCCATACCTCAACATTTGCTCCCACCCAATAATCGTTTTGTTCTCTCCATGATCCAACATATCACCGTCAATGGCTGGCGCCACCGTTCCCAACTCTATAAAAGTATATGTATCGTACAAGCTCAACTCTTAGGTAAACCCATCTATAATATACACAGAATAAAAACAAATGTTACCTTACATCTAGGCAGTAGCTTACTATACATATGCATCTGCAAATCATTGATCGGCGTGTTTTTGTAGGCTGTGATTGCAATTGGCAATGATCGTATTTTTTCAAGTTGATGCAGGAATAATGTGCTTAAAATATGGTGACCTATGTTACAGTGATCGTCAATGGTCTCCCGAGTGTAAGGCTTTTAGAGTGTGATTTCTTTGGGCGCTGGGCGTTTTCATGGCAATAGCCTCGATGTCTCTAGAAGGACTGGTTTTCGTATATAACTGTCCAAACATCCACAGGGTGCTTCCTATGGGCTATCAGATCTCAATTTGAAGCGAATAATTTAGTGGCCGAAATGAACTCTTCTTATCAAATTCCTACCTCCTCCTCATTCGCATCTTCCTACTACCGTTCTTTCAAGGAGGGTACCAGGGAAATTAAGCCGGTATCTCTACGTCGTTGCGATGATGACTTCCTTACTGTCATTGGATTGTATGATGGCTTTTGGAAAACAGTCCCAGAAAATCCAGAAAACAACTTTGCACACTCACACGGCGGCACAGCTAAGAAGTTATACGGTTCAGGTGGTTTTTCGAATGCCATTCAAATCTCGTATAAAGGAGTTGCAAAGATTCCACGGATATTTCCAGGGAGCGACCAATTCGACGAAAAAAGATTCTACCGTGATCTTATCACCGAATTACGAATTTGTCTCTGGGAACCCATGCGAAACCATCCCAATATCATAAGCCTAGAAGATATACAGTGGTTCCCAGGGCCACATCCATCTATAGAAAAAAACTGGAATTATATGTGGCCCACCCCCGAATTCGAAGCGGCGGAAGGACCTCTTTCAGGATTATTGCGTGGAAATCCAGGAATCCCGTTTGCGCAGAAGATAGCCATTTTATTCGACATAGCTAAAGCTCTTGATTGCCTTCATCAGCACGGTGTAGTCCATTCTGATATTAAGCCTGACAATATCTTTATATTTTCTGATTCTCAGCGCAAGTACATCGCAAAGGTCGCTGATTTCGGCTGCTCAACGACCCTCAAGCAGGAAGAAACCCATGGGTATCTGTCAGGGGGGACGAAGGCTTGGAGTGCTCCTGAGGCAGGTGAACGGCTGAACCATGAAGAACTGTGTAAAACTGATCATTTCTCTTTTGGTTTGGTGGTGTGGTATGTCCTTACTGATGGTCACGGGCCGTTCAAATGGCTCGAATCTTTGTGCGATACCGCGTCTCTTACGCATGAGGATATTTCGAGTTTGAAGGAAGACGGCTGCTTCCTCCCACTTTCGCTGGAATCCTTGTCAGAGCTGCCGCTATCAGAGTTTGAGATAAATCTCGCCACTGAGGTCTTGAACGCTACTCTTTGCCCGAAAGAGACTAGAGTCCGACATCTAACTCCTTTATTTGAAAGATATGGTCATGTTCTGTCACCTGAGGAGTAAGACTTACCTAAAGGCGTTTATTGAAGTTATCTGACAAAAGAAAGAGGATCCGAAAGGTCGTCAACTCGAGGTACAAGAGCCGGGATACGTGGGGCCAATAACATTAGTTGATATCAGAGTGGGTTCCACTACTAACCCATAAACAATTAAAAGATCCTGTATGCTGACAACAGGTAACTAAAGACCATCTTGCGGAAAGCAACTATCGACGACCGATTACGGGGACAGATTTTCCACAGCATCAAAAATATATCTGCTTCCGACCATAACGTAGTCGATGAATTTACTCCGGGATCACTTTCATGGCAGCTTTTCCTATGCTATTGTCACGGTTTTGGGACGCCGAGGGATTACAAGAATGCCATGTCTGCATTGATTCAAGCTTGCGAATCTGGCCACGTTGAGGCGCGAGGCATAGTGATTCAGTTTCATCAGGCTCATGGCGCTGAGTGTCCTCCAGATCTTCCGGTTGTTCGCTGGTTGGAGGAACACGTCCAAAATAATGATTTCGGGGCATGCAAAGCATTAAAATCGATCGACCCCGAATCTTATGAACGGATTATCCGAAAAGCGCAGAACACGATAAAATCATGTGATGGTTGTATATTTCCAGGAGGAGATCACAATATATGCGACTATGCTCAATCTGCAGAAGGGGCACTAGCCTTCGTCCAATCTATCCTTATTGACTATGATTCTGACTCAGAAAGTCTGATCAGAGATGTTGATCGGGACCTTGGGATGATTACTGGAAACCGTATCATCCACTTTGCAGCAGCGACTGCTATGGAAGCACTTGTCAAAGGCCTTATTGATAACGATCTTTGTGAATGGCAAGTCAAAAACAAAACTGGACTGACACCTCTGTGTTTTGCCTTTCGGAGCGGTCATCGTAACACTGCTCTTCTGCTGTTGTCTCAAATGTCTCCTTGCTCTCAGGGAAATGCCCTCACAAATCCGGTATCTGTATTTGAGAGGCTTTGTCCTCAGGAACTCCCTTCGTTCAAGTCAGAAGACGTCTTGGATGTTGCTACCCAGGCTATCAAGAAGATTCCGGGCGCTGCAACAAACCCAGCTCCTTTGGGCGGAATGCTTTGTGACCCTATGATGAAAGCTATATTGCGGAACAGCCTCGAGTGTGTTCGAGTGTTATTGCAGTTAGGTGGGCGCAATACTATAGAGCACATGAATACTGCTGCAGAGCTTCTTTGCGGTGATATTCTCAACTTTCTTATGTGGGATCATGCCGACAAAGGACACAAGCTCAGCATCTCCGAGCTTACACAAATTTACCTAATCATAGGAACAAAATCTGACCCGTTAGATATCATACAACGAAACGGATTTGAGCACAGTTATACAATAATCCGCACATTTGAGGCAATCGACTACTTCACTCAGCTCTGGTACCCTGATCTCCGTCTTGGAATGCAGAAGGTAGGATTTACAGCCCTATGTGTGTACCGAAGGTACGACATCATTCAGCTAGTTCTCGATCCATTCTTCACCGACTGTCTTTTTGCAACATCCGATGATACGTACCCTCCTCTCTGGTGGGCAATGCGTCTAGGTGACATGGAATGCTTCTCCCTCCTACTCGACTACGGGGCAGCAACATGTGACGACGTAGCCGTCGTATTTGCAAAATCGGTCAAAATGTCGAACCCCTTCTTTGTTGCAGAGCTCATAAAACACGGGTGTCTGCTGAGCGATAGAGAGTTGTTGCAATATGGCGATGCTGGTATTGGTGTGAAGCTCCCATCTAGAATGATCACTTCCACACCCTTTGAAACCGCCCTCACAGTCGACTGCTTCGACACTGCTACTCAGCTATATCGAGATACTGGACGACATGTTGGGTTGGATTGGGACGAGTTTCTCAAAGTCCTCATTACGGGAAGTCAGCACAGCGGGTTTAGCAAGCTTGACTTCCTCCTTCACTTTTACGAGCAAGAAAAGCTGGTGGTGCTACCCCCTTGTCAAGGCGGTACCGTACTTCACCGCATTCAAAACTTCTGGAGTGTAGAGCCAGAGGAACGAAGTGGAGAAATTCGAAGATATATCATCCAAGTCGTTAGAAGACTCTCCCATCTAGTCAACACCCGGAGTTGCTATGGTGGAACCCCAATATTTGGCGCAGCAATTCATCATAATGTTCTTCTCGTCGAGGCACTCATCGATTCAGGCACCGATCTTGATATCAGGGACAATGAAGGGTACACCGTTCTTGACCTTATCATGATACACCGGATCTGGGAGGTTCTCAGGGCCAATCCAAGTGGGTCGACTCCACCAAGAAACAATAATAAGCCAGGGAAGGGGTGGGTAGACCGCCTTATTGGTTCCAATCCATGGGCTGATTCAGATCTTGGTATAGGTATGAGGTGTGGCCCTGATGATGTTCTATTCAACACCTACAGAGGCGATGCATATGACAGAGGCTAGATAAAATATATGCCATGATCAAAGCAGCTGGTGGATGAAGTACCGTCAACGGATCGTACTCAGATGTAACAAGTCTTGAGAGGTGGACTCAGTTCTGGGTGCGAAGAAACAGGGAGCGTGTTTCGGGTGATCTGTGCGTTGACGGCGATGAATTTGGCCTAATGACTCGATTTGTTCAGCTCTGGGGGCCTCGGTGGGAAGTTGAGCTAGGAGGCGGGATTTTTATGGAGTTTGTCGTTGACCAGGCTTATTGCGAGGGAATTGTTGAAAGTTACGTCGACAGGCTTGATTCGGGTCAGTTGGGGACTAAGAGAGAGAAACCTGAAGATAAATCGAGATTCAGTGATGCTAAACCGAGCTTAGAACTTCAAAAGTCAAATACAGTAGAAAGGATATAGTTTGTATATTCAAGAATAATTACCTACATACTAGCACAGTATTTTGTAAATCAATACCTGAGGAAGCCTAAGTAATGAAATAGTTTCAAAAAAAATTTCAAGCTAGATGGACCTCTTCAAATGTGGAAGATCAAATGAAGGTATCAAAATGATTTCGCCCGGGCTCGAACCGGGGACCACAAGTGAAACTAATGTTAGACTTGTGTGATAACCAACTACACCACGAAACCATTTGTCAAAATTTACATCCCAAATATAAATCTTTGCTCCAAGTAGACATGAATCTCACTCCGATGTACATAACCTCTCGAGTGTGAAATTCTTCCTTCAGCAGATCATTTTGTTTTGATCAAGTTTACTCTCTTTTGGTAGCCTTAAATCTAATCACAATTACATAGTTTACTGAATATCAGGGCACCGTCTGGAGGCTAAGAGTTGTGAACTGCAGGTAGACCGTAGACCCGAAGACGAAGAGATTCTCATTACATTCACAATATCATGACTACTAAATTAGAGCAACATTTTTTTTTGACCCGGCTTTGTCCTATAACCTCAAAATTCCCTGTCAGCCTGAAATTGACTTGTCCTATTTTTTGCAGCCTGTCAGCGGGGCCGTTTGTCCCAACCACTGTGGAAATGACAGTATATGTGCTGGATTCAAAAAACTGTCAATTGACATTAGCTATATCAAATTCCTTCATTCCCCCATCTGTACACATGTAGCTTTAAAGCTCTCCACCAGTTGTCTGTACTACAATCATCATATCGAACAATTTCACCCAAATTTTAAATATTCTGAGTGAACCCTCTCTACTCATGCGTTTATTAAATGGTCGGAATTCTTAGTAGGGATTTGGTTGCAACGATATCCGACCATTTAATGAACGCCCGAGTATTTGGCACTTATTAAATCTTCAGGGATTTGGATGACCTTCATCAGTTTGGCGAAGAGGATCAAAATATTAGTAATAGATGACATCATTACCGTGATCATCGCGGAACTAGCTAGCAACCGAGCACGCGATAACCAACGCGTCGTAGTAAACAGGCACAAATTGCACCACTTCACAGAATATCTCATACCGTGTGTTGTTAGGAAGGTGTATTTCCCGACCTGGAAATTCGGCAGGTGTTGGAGATGCTTTTTCCGTAATCGCCGTCGTCATATATAAATGACCCCAGCCGATCTATAATCTGTCGTAGCCTTCAGAGCTTCTCTCAGCTCAAACTTCACTGAAAATGAGGTCGTTCACGAAGTACACCCTCGCTCTCACACTTGGAGCTCTGCCCGTTTGGTCGAGCATCTCTGGGCCTCTCGATGAGCAGCAGATCCTCTCCCAGAGCTCTGTTGAGCGCCCGAAAAAACACCCCCACCACCACCACCACATGTCGCTGAAGGACAAAGAGCATGTAATCCTCAAGTCTTTGAGCAATGTCTCAATGTCCGAATGGTCCTATTATTACACCAGCGGGCTGCACCTCGGTGGGACAAACTACTCACAGGCCGAGTGGACCCGCGACAGATTCACGGAGAACGGGATCCCTTCTCATATTGTCGAATATGATGTTTACCTAAACTACCCGCTTTCTCACAATCTCTCACTTTCTTATCCAAACGGTTCCGTTTTCAATGCCACCTTGGAGGAGGATGTTTTGAAGAAGGACGAAACTAGTGGTGTTGAGAATCGTGTGCCAACTTTCCACGGATATTCGTTCACAGGAAATGCATCCGCGGAATATGTTTACGTTGGGCAAGCTCTCTCATCACCTAATAAATTGAATCAAGTTTAACTAGAGAAACAGACGAGGCCGCCTGACCGATTTCCAAAGGCTCGTAGATCTCGGTGTCCCTCTCGCAGGAAAGATTGCACTGGTCAAATACGGTGACTCCTTCCGTGGCCTAAAGGTTAAGAATGCACAGGATTTTGGCATGATTGGTGCCATCATCTATAGTGATCCCGGCGACGATGGTAAGATACGTGAAGAAGAAGGGTATGCCCCTTACCCCGAAGGCCCAGCTCGGAATCCGTCGTCGGTGCAGAGAGGATCGGTTCAGTTTTTGAGCAAGTATCCTGGCGACCCCACGACGCCCGGGTATCCATCGAAACCTGGTGTTCCACGTGAGGATAAATCTGGAGTAACACCGCATATTCCGTCCCTACCGATCTCATTCAGGGAGGCTAAGCCATTGCTTGAAGCGTTGAATGGAAAGGGTGTTTCAGCGAAGGATGTTAACATCACGGGCTGGGAAGGCGGCTTGGCGAACGTATCGTACTCAACTGGACCGGCTCCTAATGCGGTTCTATATATGGATAACGTCATGAATGATACGATTACGCCGATCTGGAATACCATTGGAATTATCAACGGAACTATTGAGGATGAGGTTATTGTTATCGGGAATCATCGAGATTCTTGGACTGTTGGAGGCGCGGGTGATCCGAATTCTGGATCCGCTATCTTGATTGAGCTTGCAAGAGCCTTTGGGAAATTGGTTAAGCACGGTTGGAAGCCTAGGAGGACAATGTAAGGATCAGTATCTGATTTCCAGTAAACACATACACTAACTAAACATCTAGTGTTTTTGCGTCCTGGGATGCCGAAGAATATGGTAAGAGATTATTTGATAGGTCCTTAGAGCCAGTTGTTAATATTAGTCTAGGTCTCGTTGGCTCTACTGAATGGTTCGAGGAATTCTCTAAGTGGGCGGTTCCCAACATGGTTGCCTACCTAAATGTCGATATTGGCGTCTCGGGACCCAATTGGGTAATTGCTGGAGTCCCTGAGCTTCACGACATCATCCTTGAAGTTATGAAAAAAGTACCCTCCCCAATGAACAAACACAAGACAATTTATCACGACTGGGCCGCCAGAAATCAGCATATCGAGGTTCTAGGAAGTGGAAGCGACTACACCGCCTTTGTTCAGTCTGGGATCGCATCTGTAAAGTCCCTCAAGATGAGAAAGAGAATATTAATTCACACTGACTTTCCCTATCTAGATTGATATGGGTTTCACCTTCTCCAATGAAGATCCTATCTACCACTATCACTCCAACTATGATTCCTTCCACTGGATGAGTACCTACGGTGACCCTACGTTCAGTCACCACGTCGCCGCTGGTCAGTTCCTTGGGCTCCTTGCCCTGAACCTTGTGGAGCAGCCGCTGTTACCGCTGAATGCAGCAACATACGCCGAGTCTCTATGGGAGTATTACAAGGTCCTGAAGAACAATGTTGAAAAATCTGACATTGATCTGGATCTGGGCCCTCTTCACCACTCGCTGCTGGGCTTCACGAAGGTTGCAAAGAGGCTCACGAGACTATCACATCATATCAAGGGCCGTGGCGCCCAGTGGAAAAGGAAAGCGATTAATAACCGCCTTAAGTCATTCGAGAAAGGTTTCGTGAGTCAAGGTGGACTGCCCGGGAGGGAATTTTATAAACATTGTAAGTGTTCCTAGTCTCCGCGCTGGTACAATATCCGCTCACAGCGATAATAGTGATCTACGCCCCCGGTCTTGACACCGGCTACGCAGCGGTCACATTCCCTGGTATCTCTGAGGCCATCTGGTTGGGTGATAAGGCGACCGCAAAGGAGTTTGTGCACAAGACTTCGAGGGCCGTGTGGCATGCAACGGCGATTTTGGCGCTCGGGAGATGTAAGAAACATGAAGGCGAGCAGTTTAGTGAGATCGTTTTTAGCGAGGAAGAGATGAAGTTTGATATTGATTATGAGGAGGATGGAAGCGATGAAGAGGCACCCGAGCATCATGAGCATGAGCTTTAGCTATAGGTCAAACGTTGCAGAGTAGGATTTAGCAGACAAATTTATGTTTTATTAGCTAGTAACGGCGGCCGATAGTTGAGAGATATTTGATTGAACCGCACATTCTGGACTACCCTAATCCTGTACCGTACCTAACAAACACTTTTGGTGCATGGAATAATAAGATTTTCATAAATGGTGACAAAGATAGGCCATTGAAGTCAAATTACCCAGGGCCATGAATAACCGAGGGTAGCCTAGTGCACTACGCTACGAATCTAGGGCACCTTGCTGCTGTGTCGGGGAATGCTAAGCTGACGTCCGAACAAAGTTATGGTCTTACCAAGAATAGTTAAGTAGCCATGACGCTAACTAGTAGGGCTCACCCTTTCCTACTGGCCCCCTCAACGTCATTATGAGTAATGAGAGGGCTATGGTTTCGTAGAGCTGGGAAAGGAGTTAGAGTTGTGGTAATATTTGAGTGATGTCGTGGAAATCTGGCCGTAACGTGCGGCATTAGTGGTTACTCTTAAGCGCTAAGAATTTAGTGTGAGTGAGATCTCATGATCGGAGCACCAGAAAGTTGTTCGCTGTCGGACCTAAAGCTCGAGAATTCATGGAAGGTCTTCGCCATGATAGCCAATCTAGCTGGTTAACAAACCTCATAGACGGTATGAACCTAGAGTTTGCTTTGGTACGTAATTGGATCCAGTGCAAAGAATCTTTCCTTTTGATCATTTCCAACGCTTTGATTGGAATTGTTGCTCTACCCTGTCTATTTGCAGTTGCCTGAGTGATTTTTTAGGGGCAGGTACTTTATGTTTTGTAATGACAAACCAAGTATTGGTGTATTCTGATTGCCAAATATCTATCACTGCCTTATCAATGAACCGGCTCTCCCCTCTAGCTAGAGTGACGAATCGATTCACGAGGAATATAGAGCAACAGTGTCCACAAAAGAAGCGTCAGATTGATTTGTCCAGTTGTTTTCCCACCCTCTTACTCGTGCAGATCCGCTTGTTTTGTAGTTTTGGCGCGACGCCTCTTATGCTTCTGCCCCCCCCAAGTCGCAATAGTTCTAAATAACGTTTAAATTCCGGCTAAAAATACCAGTTGTGAGCTTACGGGTTGGCCCCTAGGAGATCAAAAGAAGACGGAAAAGAAGCTGCCCTGTCGGCACACCATACCCTAAGTTGGAGTGCACAGGAGACCGCCAACGATACATAGAGCAGAGCTTTGATAAGCGGAATGGGAATAGGCCTACATGTCCATCACGCCTCCCTCCCGCACTTCACCACACCTTCATTAGATATTTATCCGTGTACTCGCTCAATCGCATTAACTGAATATATATATGCTTTCTCGGATTTTATAATTCATGGCGGATCTCGGTACGTTTGAATACACAATCCTCTACAGACAATAGCTACATGTAATACTGGCTATCGAATAGAATTCAATGGAAGTCTAGCCTGGCCGTTTTACTACTATGATGACTATTCAGTAATTACGTGTATGTGGCTATCCCGTTATGACTCCACTTACATACATTGCTATCGTGTCTCACATAAGTCCCCTCTGGGTCTTATTCACTAGATAGAAATCACAATACCTCACTCGGGGAGCAGCGGATAATTATTTTATTCTAGAGGGGGTGGGAGGGAAATCATTTTTCTGCCTAACAGATGCGATAAAGCACAAATTATCGACCACATGACCGATCACCTTGACGTGAGCGCTTTCTGCCCCAATGAAAGCGGCACCATGCGAAAAAGACGGCATCCACACGTTCTGCGAACCAGTAACGGTGTGGCGGGGCGGATGCTGCACTGTTGCGGTACGTGTCGTTTCAACTTTAGCATCGCTAATCTTTGGTCGCTAGATTAACTGGTGTTTTAGGATTCCAGTAAGCTTTTGAGGCGCTCGGAGCAAGCTTTCAAGGGGGGGGGGGGCTTTTTTTTTTTGTAGATTCTGGGGGAGGGGGCAGTTGCAATGCAGTATGTATCCGTTGCTTTGCTTAAATCAATAGGAGTTGCCGCTTTACCGATAGGCGGAGGGTGGTATGAGTTCGACCTATGTACCCTCTGTATGCCTACCTACTCCGCTTTGCTCGCCATACGTAAGTATCGCGGGCTCACCTTATTTATGGAGCCCTCGGCCTCCAAGACCAATCCTTTGCAGCTGTGTAGATCGATAACAGCCGATAGTGCTCGCCTATCGGCTGCAGTCAAAATAGCATATATCGCCGTTAACGTTGGGAAAGAAGTGTACGGTATAGAAGGTATGTAGGTAAGATACCTATAGGTAGAGTAGATAGTTTTTACCCTGCTCCTCCTCCGCTGAGTTTACGCTCTCATGATCTTGAGTGCTAAGGTTTGCATTTGCTTGTTTCTTCTCTTTCAGCATCTCTGGTCCACAGTGTAGCTACATATTAACCTTATCGTTTTTCCTCTCCAGAAGACCGAAGGGCATTTCCATTGTCATATTAAACGCCCCCAATGTCCCTCGCCATCGCTATTCTGGTAGCTATGGGAGAGAAGTTGCCCATGGGCCAGCAAGGAGCTCTCTGAAAGAAAATCCCCATACCACATCATACATGCCAATAATCGGCTGGCCACGATAATCAGACCAACGAGTGGTTCGTGCGCCAGATTCCTATTGGTCCAAACTGTTCGGAATGTGAGCTCACATCGATGCGCACAACTCATCTGGAACAAAGCACCCCAGCAATTGTGCCCAAAACGGTAACAACAGATACCGCAACCCCCAGCCAATGATGGATGAGCTGTCCAGAGAAGGGCGGGGTACCTCGCCATAGGTAGGTAGGATGGATACCTAGAGGCTAGAGCTAGGGTAACCTACATTCGAAACCAAACCCACTCACCACCCCCCCCCCCCCCCCCCCCTTCATCCTCCCCCCACCACCCACTACCACCTACCCACTACCCACCCACTTTCAACCTACCCAGCCTCCTCTGATCTTATCATCGCCCCAACATCATCAGCATCATCGTCTCTGCAAGGAACATCGTCTCTCCGTCGCGATCAACCCATAACGGATACCCTCGTTAAACTTAAGCTTTGCGGCGTTCAAGGTACCAGAAGGAAAAAGAAAAAGAAAAAGCCTCCCTCCCTCACAGTGTAGTCAGGAAAGCGCGATGAACGGCGACGGCGACGGATTACCCATCGCCAATATACAACCTTTGCGCGAGGATCCAGATCGTGTCTCACTGGAAGAACACATCGCCTACCAGCAACAGCTCAACCACAACCAAAACCAAAACCACAACGGCAACAACAACCCTCAGATGCGCATCACATCTGAGAACATCAGCGACCATATCATGTCCGACTCCTCAAGGCTATCACGCCTTTCGCCCGAGCGCAACTCGATATTCGAGGACAGGCTTTCGCCCGAACGTGAGCTCCAGCCATCTGTACCCCTACTTTCGCCCTCACGACACGTTTCGCCAGCGCGCGACTCGATGTCGCCTGAACCTCGATCAGAACCATCGCACACGCCAGCCCCCACCACAGAGTCGAGTACGCCGCCGCCGACATTACCTCCGTCCTCATTCGCCACCGGCTCGACTCGTGCAACTTCAACGGCGGGGACTTCGGAGCAGTCGTTTGAGATGTTGTCGGGTTATGACCCGATCTCGCCTGCTGATAGACACCGACAGTGGCAGCGCGAGCAGAGGAGGGAAATCTACAACAATGGGGGGAATTTACAGGGCGGTGGCGGTGGGTTTCGGCCGAACGCTGATTTGCCGTTCCCGATCACACCACAGCTCCTACAGTACTATCCCTACCCTGGCCAGCACCCATCATCACCACAGCAGCATCAGAGAACTCCGCTGAAGGAGGATTTTGTTAATAATCTTCCTGGGCGGCGTTATAGTGAGGTTGGGCATTATCAGGAGCAGCCTATTCCACAGAATCAAATACATAGATCGCATGGAGGACAGCAACAGCAGCAGGGGATGATGTATGACAGCCGATTTTCTAACCACGGCAGTTTGCCACCACTGCAGAGACAAAGTTCTGTCCAAAATGGACTAAATCCGCATTATAGAAGTTCTTCTAGTGAGGTTTCCGTAGGCGGAAGTTCGTGTAGCGGAATCCCAAGCTTTGCGAGAGAGTTTGAAGGGAGAGGGAGAGGTTGGAGGTTTGGTAAGATATTTCCATACTCATTGAATGATTTGAGAAAACGTGCATCGTGTCCTATTTGAAATGTCGATTTCTCTCCTTTTCTATTTCTCCCACCAGAGGTGTTCTTGGTGTGGACTATTCCCCTCGTTATCATTGTGATATTGCCCCTTCCTGTTTCCCTTGTTCGGGACATTAACATGGTGATCCCCGAACTTACAGATCCAATTCACACAGCAGAATCTTCCCACCATTCACCCCCACCTCCCCCTTCTTCCAACTTTTCAACCCCTCGCAAAGAAGAGTCCATAGCTTCCGTCTACGTCAATGAATTCGCCTCACAGATAGACTCACTGCTCCGCTATGCGAAACGCCCATTTGTGGCGATAATGATACTCGGGTTTTTTGGTCTCGTGCTTTCAACATTAGTCAATAACTTCTCTTCCGCGTCTCCCGAAACATGGGGTGAAAATACTTGGAATATTACTTACTCTGGGGGTCCTGGCACTCGCGCAAGCTATGCCGACTTTCCCACACTGATGAATATAGAGTCCTCGTTCGAGAAGATTGTCGACTCCGCCGCCGGAGGAAGTGCTCTGGCGCGCGTCATGAAACAAAGCGAGATGGCTGTAAGCGACTTGTCAACCGTAGTGCGCTATTCCGAATTGAAATGTAAAGAAACGCTTGCGGAGCGACTGGACGTGTTTGCCCGGGATGCCAAAGGAAATGTCCGGGCACTGCAAGGGTTTGGGAGCAAAGTCGGTGGCGTTCTAGATCAGTACGGATCTCTTCCTTTGAATGATTTTAGAAAGAAAAAGCCATAATAAAAGAATGGCAAAAAAGAAACCAAACAAATGCAGGCAGAAAGTTGACTTGTTTGTGTAAAATCCATTAGGTTGCTATCAATAAACCAGTACGCTCTCCGCGAGCTATCAATGATCAAACGCGAATCCCAGCACCGTCCATTCCTATACCGTCTACTAACCCCTACCTCATTCTTCCGCTCCTCCTCTCACTATTACTCCGACGAGCCCGACGATGCCCGCACCCGTGCCCGCGTCGCCGAAACTTTCAACAAGGCCGCCGAGGTCCTCGAGTCAAACCTCCGCCTCCTCGTCGCCGATGGCGAAACAATCTTCGCCTCCCTCACCCAGCTCACCGAGCAGCACAAACCTATCTATGATGAGATCGTCCGCGAGGTCGTCGACATCAAGAAGGAAGAAGCTGTCGTTCTCTCGTCGCTTTGGACTAAAGTCGGTGGCAACGCCGCCCAGCGAAAGAACTTCCGCGAAAACGCCGAGCTACTCGCGCTGATTGGCAGCTATGAGGAGCAGGCGCGAGGATATGTCGAGAGCACTGTACTGGAGCTGGACCGCATGACCGCTGATCTAGAGAATCTGCGACGAAGAGTCGCAGAGCCACTATTAATCTCCGGGAGCAGCAACGGGAAGGGTGGGAAGAGAGGGCGTGACGACGACATCGCAAGCATTCCACTGAGTGTGCATTTAGATGCGATTGAGGGAGCGGTGGAGCGGCTGGTGCGGAAGCGGGCACAACGCAGGGAGAAGGAGGGGAATTGGTTGAAGAAGATACACGATGGGGAGGAGCGGGCGAGGAAGGAAGATATCCTCGTTGAGGGAGCTGGGACCATCGCAGCTTAGGGGTGGGGTGGAGGTTTCGGCGATATACGTTGGCACGGTATTGGGGTGGTACCGTGAGGTGGGCTGTATCAATACTCTCCTTTCTTGGACGTACGGCGTTCGTTCATTTTTTCCACTTTCCTTTCGGGCTTTTCTTTCAGTGCTTCACACTTTTTTTCTCTTTTGTTCATATCACACTCCCTTTTATACCATACTCTACTTCTTTTTCACATTTCCTTTGTTTTTCTCGGGTCTGGGCATGTGCTTTCCTTCCTTCCATCGGTGGCTGTTCTGCTCTTTCTGCGATTTCCTTCTTTAGAAAGGAAAAAAATAGGGCTCACCTTTTTTACGTGCTGAGCCATGTAGGTGCATTGATAGTGTGTAGTTTAGTTTGGGTGCTGTCATCGCTCCCAACTAACTAGTATTGTCTTTTACTTTTCCTTATTTTTACATATTTCATGCGTGGGAAAGGGAGAGTTATGGAGTATCTGCTTCTTTTGTTTGGGGTTTGGGTGTACATATCCTCATATTTGGTCTGTCCTGTACGGGGGTTCTTATGGGGGTTTCTGCTGATATACACATACTCTACTTGTTGATTTTTTGCTGTTTTGCTTTGGCGATATTTATGTATTGGACTGGACTCGGTGTTGTGTTGCCATATTGGATTTTTATTTTCCTTACTTTGTGTTTTTTTTGCGATCATATCAGTTAGCAGGCCTTTTTTTATTCATGTATATCCGCTTTTTCTTATGTATGGGGGGCGGGTCATTTCTACTCTGTATTGTCTATTGTCTGATTGTTTAAGCGTTGCTTTTGCGTCTTCAATACTCCCCCCTTTGGTCGACTTCTTTTACTCCTCGCTCTAGCGTACGCGTGGTTAGGAATAGAGAAAAAAACTTTAGGATATGTTTGCTTGCGCGCAGCGACTGTGGTTCATAGGGCGTCACTCGTAGAGGATTTTTTTTTTTTTTACCAATTTCATAGAGATACATAGATAGCCATAAATTTACCATCATGTTGTGAGGAGGAGGGGGAGGGAAATCATCGCGGCTGCAACAAACCGTCAATGCGAATCTGGGTAAGGCCTGTAACTATCCGCATATGGACCAGACATTGACAATCCTTTGTTGACGACCAGGCCGCATTTGGACTTGGAGACGGTGGGGATCAAACCACCGGGGACACGGGAGCGACGTCATAGGCGGGTGTTAGCTTATTCTGCCCCTGGAGTTCTAGTAGAGTTATTTTGGGCTTTGGTTTAGGATGACTCTTCCTAAGATGCGCCGATACGAAGGTATGTAGTTGACCACCGTTGTTGTGATGAAGAGTTGCGATAAATGTTGTCATGGACTGCGCGATACATAGATAAAGAGCAAACATATTTTTTTATTTTTTTTCCTCAAAGGGTTCATCCCGACTTTTTCCTAAGATCCATGTATGTAGGCAACCTTACCTTAGTGGGGCATTTTTTATTTTCTTTTTCACCGATCACTATTTTCTTTTTCAGCATAAACATGTCTGCTTCTACATATCAGATACCCTAGCTTGATGATCCATCACATTCGACCAAGCTGAGGTTAAGAGAGGATGTAGGCATGAGCATGTAAGGCACTCGGCGTCCTGATCTACTTTACTCTCGTCAGGGCGTTAAAGTCGTCGTGGCGGAACCCAACGGGCACTACTGGCCGTAGCTTCGATCTTTCTTATTGCGAAAAGTGTAGTCTCGATTCCCAAACCGCTATTTCAGTTTCGACTTATGCGAGATATATCCACCATCTCCATCTCAACGGAGTAGAGGGCCTAATCAAATCAAGCCTTTTGATATTCATCCCTGATCCCCCTTCCACGCAAAGAGCTGTTTCAAGACATTTAAAAACCGCCCTTTGATCTTTGCATCTCCATCTATACCCGGTAGAGCCAGACCCCTCGCCTTATCTGACAACAGGCAGGGACAGGAGCGTCCCTTCCAGGGATTCCTTCGTAATGGGTGTCAGCACGTGTCACCTGGACCATTCATCCTATGAGCACGTGCGGGAATCTTCTCCCGAGACAACCTGTGTGTATGTGTGATCATCAAACCCATGGCGCAACATCATGATCACCTTGGGGATTTTCACCTGGATCAAGCATCATAGCGAAGGGAGGGGGAGTAATGAAACAGTGACATCACAATGGATGAAGGGTCTATCTAGGAGGGGAAGGAAGGTGGGGTATTCTACTTTGGTACTTATTTTTTGAACTAAAGGCGCTTACAGAATATTCAATAATGGCAACTTCCTTTCGGAGGGGGGGGGAGGTAAGAGCGGAAAGTGATTTTTATGAGAGTTTGATAGTAAACTTCGGGGAAGGACACCTCGTGATCCGAATAACGAAAAAGCCTATTCTGAGAGGGAGCGGGGACACGAGTCGCTGCTTTTAGGCGCCGTTGACGAGCAGGGGGTCATGCCACAGGTGGCGGAGGGGTCAATGATCATGGGTGATTTTCACAGGGGTCCTACCCAAATACTGGCAATTTGGAAACTATTAACATGAATGTTATAATATTGCTAAATATAAGGATCAGGCAGGTTTCACCTGTTTATTTTCCAAGGAAATTTTCATTTCTTCTATCATAAATAATCAACTGCTCCCTATCATTACCTAGCCTTAGCTGCGTGTTAAAAACAACAACAACAAAACAACAACAAAAACAAACAACAAAACTGCTCCCTATCACAACACTCACCTACTTAAGTGCCGGCATTGACTTCCTGTTCATACCAGACCCACGCTTGAGGTACGGATGAGTTACTGTGGCCGCTTGAGACTTCTTGTCATCTTTCATCGGGGAGAGAAAGCTGGGAGCCCTTAAGGAGGCACTACCAACACGCCTACGAAGATGACTATCTCGCTCTTGAACCGTTCCAGGAGGAGAAGAAGTTGTGCTGGCGAACCGGACAGTACAGCCGCTACCACTGCTCTTGGTCGTGCTCGAAGTTCTAGATTTGAGGATACCCGGAATACCCTCGGAGGAGCGGCCTGAAGACTTAGAGGAAGGAACAGACTCAGGCTTTGCACTATTATTGACTGAGAGAGGAGTAGGCTCGGGCTTGAAAACATCATCAAGTGAAGAAGGAGTAGGCCTAGGCTTGACACTACTGTTGACTGACGAAGGAGTAGGCTCAGACTTGACACTACCATCAACTAAGGAAGGAGTAGGCCTAGACTTGACATTACTCTTAACTGATGTGGGAGACTTCTTCTCACTCACAGGGGATTTTTCGTAGTAGATCCCCCACATGTCCTTACTGCTGGAACTTCTCAGACTCGCATCACGAACACCACTCGCCATCGAGCTTCCAGAAACCATCGAATACTCACCATCATCACCATCATCCTCATCCTCTTCATCTTCACCGGGCCAAAACACATCCACCACATCCACATCTCTCCACTCCCTCCCCCACACCTCCCCATCAATCACGCCTCCATCCCACCTCTCCACTACCACCGCCCCACCAACAACCGCAAACACCTCCCCCTCCAGCCTTGTCACCGCCTTAACCCCCGCCACTAAACACCTCCTCACATCATCCCACCCCGCCCCCGGGTGCACCACCGACACTGCAATAACCTCCGGTCCCTCCTCTTCCTGCTCGATAATCGAATGCACACACCCCTCACGACCCTCACACCAACACAGTTCCTCCAGCACCCGTGCAAGCCCATGTAGCCGGAACGTTAGCTCCCGATGCCACGGCGTCGCCGCACAGATGGCGCCGGCTTGCGCGGTGTACCAGTCGATACACCCGGGCACGAGCAGGTCCTGCTCACGCATGCAGCGGGTGCGCAGCTCGGCGGTACTAGAGATGAAGGATGAGATGAGCTTTGTGGCCTCGCCGAGGTGGGGCTGCTGTGCGCTGGGGTATAGATGTGCTATTGTTTCCTGTGTCTCTGTGATAGTCTTGAGACCCTGCAGGGCAGATATGGCGTTGTCGATGATGTCGTCTGATAGTGTTGCTCCCCCCGCCGCTGCTGCTGCCGCCGGTGCAGGTGGAGGAGGAGAAACGGCGTCCATTACGGCTGTTTTGAGGGTTTCGAATTTTGCGAGGAGCTCGTGGTGGTGGGATGTTATGAGGGTGAGGAGGTTTTGGGGGTGGGTTGGGTATGGGGGGTGGGGGGCGGTGGGGGGTTCTGGAAAGGTGTGGAGGAGGGTGGAGAGTCGGGGGAGTTTGTGGAGGGCGGTTTGGAGAGTGTGGAGCATTGTGGGTGGGGTGGGGGGTGTGGAGATTGTGCTGGGTTTTTTGATATATCTTTAATTGGGTATGTTTGAATAACAGTTGAGACGCGTGTTGGGATAATTTGAGATGAGTGTTGATAGGTCTTGGGGTTAGTTGTGCGTGGGATATATAGCGAATGTTGGTGGGGGGCTTGAAAGCGGTAAGTGTAGGCGATTCATCTTGATATGATATTGATGTTCATGGGTTGCTCAAATCGCCAGGTTTGAATACTTGAAGTAAATAACTTGAAAACAGGAGATGTTTCGACAAAAACCCGGTATTGTATCATTGACTCGGTAAATATTTAGTGAGTATGCCATCGAAACTTTCGACGCTCGAGGCTCGAGGCACCACCTTTGGCATAGTAAGTTACCGAGAAGCGAATGGTAATAGGCCGAGTTCCAAAGCCTAGAAACTAGTAAATACAGACTGAGAGAAAGTTTTCATTTATGAAATCTCGTAGATGGTCTCTATTTCTAACGATAGCGTCCGCTGGAGAGCTTTTAATGCAAGGTAAAACAGCAAATAGGATTATCGACGCCCCCCTACCATAATTAGTAGTCATAATCCCGAGAGGAAATTCTCTACAATCAACCGCAGTCCATTTTATATCGTAACTCTCAACTAATTTTAACATACACACATTTAGTTGAGATGATCTTAGCCTCCTGATAGTCCACTTATATAAATGATGGCATAAATAAGTCCATAACAGTAATATACGTTAGATACAGTTCATTCTTACTTGAGTCGCACAGTCGCACCTCTATGGCCTACAGTCAGGTGGGGTAGTAATGTGGATCATAGATGCTCACTCGCATGTGCGCAGCCAAGCAATTTATGACCATCTCTCTAAAGTGGTACTGAGGAACCAAGATACATGTAAAGAATGTAACTCTATTACTACTTACTTAGCCTTAAACGCCCTCCCAGTCATCCCCACGGCAGTTCAGGCTGAGTTGGATTACCCAGCCCATCTGAGGATCCAGGAATTTCCAACCAGTAGACTCCCCCAAAAATTACCCCGCTCAATGTCTTCCCATCTTAATTCCCAAGCCCGTGTGTGGGCCCTCAGTCGCGGTAGCTTCTGTGACGGGAGCTATGCCGTCCGAGTGACGCCCCATGATCCACTCCCCCCGAAAAAGCGGCAGAGAATAATAGACGGTAACAAATACGTCATCACAACTACATGTAGTAACGTTTTCAAAAGTAGATCACGCTCAAACAGGTTAGAGACGGTGTCTAGACTAGCTTCCTATCCCGTAAGCACTAACCTTGATTTTAATTATTACTCTTCCCTACTAATCTTCGCTTCTGCTTCACTGCCAATCACTCGCCATTACTAACCACCATCACTGGCGGCCCCGTCATCACGGCACCCTCTTCAGCCCCCCTCTTCCCAGAATACCGCCCCATGCGCCATCGGCAGTTGGTGCGAGAAGTAATATTGAAGGGAAGGATGCGGAATCGCCAATATCGCTCTAGACGCTGTGCGAGGGGGCAGTTGGTGGTTCTTTTTGGCAGCGCCCATTTCCCTCTATCTTCGGTTAAGAATTGTAACGTCAGGAGACCGAGGCCCCGCCACTACTCTGCTTGTGCAGGAGAAAGTACTGCAGTACTGGCAGTGATTCCGGGTACCATAAGCGGAAGGAAATTTTGAGGTCGCCGCGGGCATTGGGTTTCAGGTAGAGTAATTGTACCAGTGCATGCGCACATGCAGATAGGCGGTCCTCGCCCCGTGGCGCGTATAGTAGTCCATTTAGAAATGGGGCCTCCTCTGAAAATAGAGCATCCCTCTCTGTCCTACATCACAGACCCACTATACACACCGACGGTGTAGTCCATGGTCGAGCTTTAGATCTGCCCTGCCGTTCCAAAGGCCAGTCTGCGGCCAAGTATAGTCCGCCTGGCGAGTATCTGCAGCTCGTGCGCCGCCTCCCTCAACCAGTTCCCTTGCCCTAACTGCTCCGCTTCGAAATCGCTGCGCCGGCCGGCCGCCAGAAGAAGCCCCGCTGTTCCGCGGGTTTCCGACTGTAAACTATCCGCAAAATAAGCACAGTAGATGCAATCGCTTCTCCCCCATAGAGGGCGGGTTGGATGAAGGTGTAAGGCAAGGGTCTTAAAGATCTAGAACTCACCAGTACATGTTCCCAGCCAAAGACTGTTTTAAGTACCATGCCTCTCGTGAACAAAACGAGGAAGGCCAGGGAGGAATTGGAAAGAAGGCCAGGTACCCTCCCCTCCGCCTGCAGCGCGATTTATGAATGCGTGCAAGAAGCATCCGTCTCCCTTCGCCCCAGCTAGCCGTCTCAAATCTGAGCTTGTTATCCCCCCCCATGTCCCGGGCCCCGCCGAGACGCAAGAGGAAGCGCACCCTCTCACAGCCAGAAATCCTCCCACCAAGCCCTCACTCCCTCCCGACACAGAGCCCCCCGGCGCGAGACGGCAGACACACCCGTCACCACCGCCCGCGCGCCCAAACCACGCTCAAGCCCCCCCGACTGCCATCCACCCTAGCTCACCCTAGCTCACTGACCAGCCCCCTTCCTAGCCACTAGCTCCCCTCCCATAATCCAGCATCTAAATCATTACCACGGACCATCCCCCACCTTCCAAAATAGCGTGGTACCGGTCATTGACACGGGACGGCTTATTACCCCGCCTTTGGTGCGTAGGTGGAAATGGTGTGGTTTTGGTCATTGACCTACCGCAAAAATTGGAAATGCCTGCCCGGGCTTGATGATTGCGGGGGGGCAGCTTAGTAGGGGGGCAGGATATTCGAATTTTGGGACAACGATCCTCTATATGACCTTTTAGTGACAAGTAACGATTTTACACTCGGGTGACTAATGATTGGGGGGGGGGGGCAGCATACTCAGAGGGGCAGGATGATCTGGGGGGCATGCAGTTATTTCCAATTTTTGCGGTAGTTAACCCACCGTCTAGCGTGAGCTGCGACCACAACCCAGTGCAGGGGGACTTGATAGATGCGAGGGATGGATGAATGGAGTGAGGTCTGTTGCTGGCTGGCTGGCTGGCTGCGGTGGAGCTTGTTTTGGAATTGCGGCGTGTGGTGGGGTGGGCTGGAGGGGGTTTCGATGGCAGCTGTCCTGCAACTGTAATATCACTGCGCCGGGTTACCGTCAAGATGTTCGACAGCTATAGAGAACCTCTGCATGTTCTGTGTATGTAGACGCACCAATGCACCCACATCCACAATGAATGCGTATCTGTACTTCTTCAGCGCTGCAGCCCTATCCAGCTCTCGCCATCCAGCGGGCATTATTAATAGCAACAAATAGCAACAAAGAACTCACCAGTACCAATTCCCAGAGCTCCCTAGCTATAATGCCATAAGGTTAGCCCACCCCCAACCGGGACTCCAAGTAGTGCTATATCCGCTAACAATGATTGCGAATCAGGACAGATATACGCACGCTATGATACCGGGCAGGCAGGCTTCGAGGTCATCTTGATATATACGCCTACACCCGGCCACAATGCACTTCGGCCGGTGGCATAGCATGGAGGTTGTGATTGGGGATTATGTGTTGGGGGGCATAGATCTTGGTGATCGTGTACTACTCAAGTAGCTGTGGTAGCTTTGGTACTGTTGATGGGCACGGGTGTCTGTTCTTGGGTCCTGGAGTTCGCCGTGGGGGGTAGGGGGGTGTATGCTAAGGTCTAGAGTGGGAAGGGAGTGCTCTAGCTGTGTTTGAATGGTAGTTGGAATTCTTGATTGGGATTTGCGGGTGGATTGATTGGAGGATTTGCGGGGGAGGGTAATGATTGGGCTCTGTGAATGGCGAATGGGAGGCAAATATGGTTGTTTATATGTGAGTTTATTTGGCATTCACGAGTCATCAGAAGAGCAGGAGTCAATGTTAACGAGTATATTTATTCCAGCCATGATCCAGCTACAGAATGCCCTACTTCCCCAACACCCTCCTCGTCACCTCCCTCGGCATACAATACACCGGATCCACCTCCTCCAGCCCCTCATACCCCAACAGACTCAACCCCGCCACCCCAAACTGCGTATGAAACACATCCGCCACATCCCCGCTCCTATCCGCCAACCCGCCCCCCTCCTCATCCTGGCACCCCAATATAAACGCCACCAGCTTCCCCCCATCCACCCATCCCACCCGCCCCACCATGGCCAGACTACTCACAACCCACCACGAATAACACACATCCTCCAGCTTCTCGGGCCGCCCGTTGAGCCCCCCGTTCGGCAGCTGCCGCTCACACAGCCAGTCCCCGAGCACGTTGATCTGGTCCTCACTCATCAGCCTGTGCAGCCCCCCACCGATGCTCAGCGCGCCGAGACACGTGAAGATCTGCCCCGCATGCGACTCGGCCGACGGCGCCATCCCGAAGCCGCCGTCGGGGTTGCGGCACCGCATCACGTAGCCCATGGCCGCGTCCACATCCACGGCGTCGAGCCGGCGCAACAGGCTCAGCGCGTTCAGGGCACAGTAGATGAACCGCGTATCCTTCTCGCCCCACTCGTCGCCCGTGAAGCATCCGTCGGGCGTCTGCAGGGCCGCGATGTAGGCCACTGTCTTGGCCGTGTCGAGGGCATCGAGGGCGTCGACGGTGGCAAGGATCTGCACGGCCGAGAGCGTGTACAGGATGTGCGGGTCGTGGGTTGGCGAGGCGCCGAAGCCGCCCGACGGGTGCTGGCAGGAGAGGACGAAGGCGATGGTGGCGGGGCGGGGGAGGGCCGTGGGGTGGCGGAGGAGGTGCAGCGCGGTCAGGCCCCAGTAGACGCCGGAGAGGCGCAGGTGCGTGGTGAGGTGGTAGTCGAGGCGGTCGGAGTGCGTGTCGAGCGTTTGGATGTATTTGACGTGGGCGGCGGTTTGCAGGATTGGGGGCGTCATAGTTGCGGGTTGGTTTGGGGAGCTGTGTTGAGGTGGGGGATGCAGGTGTGGTTGTGGTTGTGTGGCTTGGCGCATGGGGGGTCACTCGGTGTGCGGGGGGAGTGGGCAGATGAGCTTTTGTGCGTGGGCTGTGTGGGAGCTGACCTGTGCGTGCGTGTAGTGGAGTCTACTAATCAAGATAGAGATTACCTCCGAAGAGTCAGCGCTGTACATACTGCTGAACAGCTATTCAGAAGCTCGAAACACCCGCAGTACTAACCCCGAGAGACAGCTTAAACCGCATCTAGGAAGCTCTGTAGAAACGACCACTAAGGCCGGAAAGGAGCTGACAGAATACTTATCTCTTTAGGCAGCGAGATCTCCAGATACTTCAGGTTCTACTCCCGCCTTGCTGGGTGGGCGGGTTGTCTTTGCGATTGAAATCGGTAACTAGTACACTAGAGCTGAATACAAGGATCACATCTACCCAGTCTACATTCTTCTATTACCCCAAGCACATTTGAGGAGCTCTCTGTCCAGTGCGTGTCCTTTATTAGACTGCGGGGCTCTGGATATCTCCTCACCCTCGACACATGTATCCTACCTACACACCAATATCAATCGATGTCAAACGCATCGCAGCCAGCCCCTATCAATGCACACCCAAACCCACTACCATCCCACTTCTCCATACTCGTCTTCTATCTCCCAGAACCCACTCCCACTCCCCACAACCATCCACACCCCCACCAACACCGCCAACCTAACCCCCCCCGCAACACAAGCAACTTAATATAGAATCACACGTCATCACTCGCCTCCTCAACCCCTCACCCCCCCTCACCCTCCACCACACAGACAAACATAACACAGTCACATCCTACTAGCTAGGGTAACATGTATATGAGTGATCTCATTTCTTCCTTCTTCTCCATTTGAGCAAACGACAGATTGGAGGAATATGATGCGACCCGTCGATCGGACACATCTACATCTCTGGTGGTAACATTACAACTTCATAACACGTATCGACTCATCTCCCTCCATTATGACGAGCTCAAGCCCGTTTAACACTTACCACAGATGCAACAGTCAGATAAAACAACTGCCACCTAGCTAGTACAATGCGGCTCAACCACCCCACCCCACAACCAAAAACACCAGCTCCTCCACGACACAAAACAGACAAAGCCAGCTTTCAAACAAAGAAGCCACCACCAACCACGCACACACCCAGATCTCCTCATTCCCGCCTCCTTCGCGCGGCAAAAAAGCATTTTCCATCCCTATCACTCGGCTGCTTCACACGCCATCACCCACGCGAGTGATTTTCCATGTCCTCCCGCGTCACAGCTCAATACTCGCGTCATGGGTTCATACTCGGAGGCCATGTTAGGTGAAGTCCACCTCAACACGTCCTTGCTTGCAGCTTCACAATGGCTAACACAGTAGTACGTTCATTCTTCATAATTTCTCAATTGCGGATTCATAATATAAGCATCGTCGTCTTTCTCAATCAATCAATCTCTAGCCCCCCTCCCCTCCCCTCCCCTCCCCCTCTCGCCCCCGGTCCCTTCGCCCCCGCCGCCCCCGCGCCCAAACACCGACCTCACTCCCAAGTTCTCCAGGAAAATAATAATGACAAAATCCATAGGGCTAGTAGTATCGAGGGGCGTTGAAATGACGCCCCCCTTCCATAAACTTCCCGTTCCTCCCGTTCCTCCGCTCATATAAATAAAAATAAAAAGAGATGAAAGAGGAATAAAAACAAGTGGTGGTGGCAAATTCAGGTCCCAATATCTTTTTTTCCAAAACTGACCTTCGGGCTGCTGTTTTTGTTTATCTAAACGAGAGTGCGGTAGTACTGTGTGCTGGCCACTGTATACGTAAAACTCGGACAATGTAGAAAGAAGGAGACAAGAGAAAAGAGAAAGAGAAGAATAAAGAAGAAGAGAAATAAAGAAGAAAGAAGTGAGAAGATGAATAAAACAACGAAGGACAGAGAAAAGATCGTTATTGCAATGATGACAAGTTACACATCAGGTGTGTGGTTGCAACACAAAAAACGCAGCGAAAAGGAAAGAAGAAAAAAGAGAAAAATAGAAACAATGACAAAAAGAGAACAGAAAAAACACAGTACTCCAAGTATTTACAACCAGTCCCTACCCGACGTGAAACGAAGCCTTGAAGGAGATTATTACTGATTCTTCGATGATTCGTTCTTTCATCGGAGGTTTCTTTTTTTACTTTTTATTTTACTTTCCTGCTGAGATTATTCAAAGGCAGAGAGGAGGATGCCAGAGAAGTACTGCAAATTGTTAGTGAGTAGGTAGATAACGGTAGAAAGCGCATTGAAACATACCTCGCTAGCTTCCTTCGCCTGCTTCTCTTGCCACTCTTTTTCCCACATGTTGACCTTTTCTTCGATCTCCTTTTCGTTGGTGAGTCCCTTTTTCCTGGCGCGCGCGCGGAAGTTGGAAAGCCTGGCGGAGGTCTTCGCCCGCTCGGGGTTCTTCTTGCGGTAGTCGGAACTGGAAATTCGGTTACGCTCCACAGGGGTACCCTTTGGTTCTGTAGCAATGACATCAGTACAATTAATTTTTTTTTGTTAGCAGTAAATCATGTAGGAGTTACTAACCGGCTTCTTCCTTCATCAAAGAATGAGCTTCTCCATGAGCCTTCTCGAAGTCCTCCTTGTCAGGCAACCCACGCGTCGCGTAATACTTGAGGTGATGCCAGAGACTCTGGCGGGGGTTTCGCCCAGTGAAGGTTTGACCACAACCTCTGACAGGGCACTTGAGGGTGGTGGTACCAACCGACGAACTGCCACCGGGAGAGGAAGATTTCTCAACACGGCCAGTCGCGACACGGTTGATTTTATTCTTCGGGGTCTTTGGGGTCTTTGGTGTAGTTTTGGATCTGATGGGGGGACGAGGAGGGGGGGAGTTTTCGTCAGGTTCATACTCTGACGCGGTAGGCGAGTGATAAGCGGTGTCCCCAGGGTCCGCCGACACAGGATCACCACTCGGTGTTGAAGGCCGAGACGGCAACAGAGAAAGAGAAGGCAACGGCGCCACGGGAGCCGGAGCAGAAGACTCTTCAGCGGCGGCCACCAGCAAAGGGGCCTGAGGTGCTGGATTATTTGAATCCGTCATAGGCTGGGGTGCAGCAATAGGAACGGGGACAGGAACAGGCTGGGGAAGAGGAGTTGGTTCTTGTTGAGGCTTGACATCAATATCCATGGCGGTGGTGGAGTTATCCATGGTATTTGATGCAGTTGTGTTTACTGCAGTTGTGGTGGTGGGAGGAGTTGGGTCGACGTCCAAGTCCATACCTGCTAACTGGTTTGTGGTTGGGGCAGGTGGTTGGAGGGTGAGTGAGGGTTGGTGAAGAAGAAGTGGGGAGGGGGTGATGAGATGTGGGAGGGGGATGAGTGGAGGGGAGAAGTGTTTAGGTATGGGCTAGAGAGATAAACGGGAAAGATAGTAGTAACGGGGTGTGTGTGTGTGTTAGAATGTGGTATGGTGGGATGTGGGTTGGGTTGGGGGCGGGTTGGTTGAGAAGGTAGAATTTTGGGGCGGCGTAAAGAAGGTGAGTGAGGGAGGGTGAAGGAGGAGGGAAGAAAGAAGAGTGAGAGATGATGCTTCGAGTGAGAGAGCGAGCGAAGAGAAGGCAAGCCCTGAAATGCCGAGTGCGAGGGTGTGTGTGGACGTGTATTGTATGGATGGGCTGACCAGAAACCCCATCAGGCTTAGGCGAGGAAAGCTGGGGGGGGGGGAGGGGGGGGTGGAGGGAGTGGAAAGCGCACTGGGGGGAGGAGCGAAAAAGAGGCTTATGTAAGTGGGGCCTGGTACGGTGGTGGAAGGGAAAAACGAGAAGCAAAATGTTGTTTTTGGAACGAGCCACGCGTCATTCCCGGTCACTCACTCTCTCACTCATTCACACACTTGCTCTCGGCAGAAGGCAGCCCCAGCCTCACACGGCGCTCACTCGCTGCTTCCAGTGTGGTACATGCGCATTTGAAAGGGTGAAAGGTCGCCAGCCCTGGCCCCATATTCATGAACCGCGCTTGCCGCAACACAAACTCATATAAGATCAGGATTCTGTTAGAGATTCGAAGTGACTTGTGTTGTTTTCATAATTTGGCTTTCATTATTGAAACATTTTTTTCGCAATTGCAATACTTACTAACTGCAGCATGATGTTGATACGTCTAGCTAGATTTAGCTTCTTGCTTTCCGCCTCAACCAACCCCCGGAGCAACCCTGAAATTCTCAAGCGGAGGATAGGGCCGAGTGAGCAAGGGAGTAAAAGACCATAATGATATGCAATAAACCACACTGCGAAACAACTGCCACAGTTCTCACTTCCCGCTTCTAGTTCTATCTTTAGGCCCCCAACCCACCCCAACTAGTAAAAGTCACATTCTGCCGATCAAGCAAGGCTGAGGGGTGATAAGAAGTGCAATTAACTCCCACGCAAGATCATCTCGAACAAACAAATAAAACACCACCAATCGATTACCTAAAACTCCATGTATGATGTATGAGTGCAGTGAACTGCAGAAACTCTAGACTACTCACTAGCGTCTCGACATCTTACTTCAGCACCTCTTGAACAAACACCAAAACCACACAACTACAACATTGTCCCTATGTCTTGACCAGCTCCACCCCCCCTCACTCGGATGTCTCGGCATTCAGAATAGTTGGTCGCCCGATGTCGCCTATGGTTTCACGTACGCACGCACAGACTTTCTACTCCTCCATAAGCCCGCGATCGGTTGCTGTTGACACAAGTAGCCAAGTTTTTTATTTTTCTGTGACAGTCATGCGCGATCACTCATGTGTCATGTGTCATCTCTCTAGGCGGGAAGGCTACCTACATGTACTCCGTGGAGTAGAAGCTTCAAATTACAATATTGGGAGGGCGATGTGGAGAGGGGGAAGGAGATGAAGGACACGGGAGCTGAGGTATGTTGAAACACAGTCCTCCATTCATGAGAATACTACCCTAAACACGCCTAATTCACACTTTAGACCGCCTCATGATCGTAAGTAATCAACCCCCGTAGGAATAGGGGCAACGCTGTTCCCGCGTTCCGGTATCTCCAGCCACGACACACCCCATCACTCGCGGCTCAAGGCTGGGTCCGTGCGGTGGCACTGAGTGATAAATCATGATTCTCATCAGTATATGTTTAGGCTTCTGTTTTATTCAGACATCGCATAGTGAATGGAATGCTTTGGTTTGTTCCTACCGGTCCGCAGTACTAGTTAGATAAATGTTCAAACGTGGATGCTGTTCTGACAGCCACACATTATTCAATTCAAGGCTTGATCTCCAGAGCCAGAATTGGAGATTGATAATTCATTAATTAATTGTGTTCCAGACTCAGAAGATCTGTTACCAGTCAAATTTAAAGTTGAATTTTAAGGTTTCATGGGAAAATATTTTGTGGGTGCGCAATATTGCGAAGGCAGACAAAAATGGGGAAGCCTCTCACCGCCTACGACCAGGTCAAGAACAGTCTAAGGCGGGGAGGGGGCAGACTGAAGGTCTGAGGTTACTACATAATAATTATAGTACCAAATCCGAAAAGGGATAGACTCTTTCGTGAATAATAATATTCTCTGGTGTAATAGTAATGCCGAATTACTAGCTCCCATAGAAGCACAAACCGTTCAAATAGCACCGTTGTCGACTCATACTGACGGCATGCTTCATACCAAATACGGACATGTTACTTTATGTTCAAAGATCTATGTGTTTACGTAGGCCAAGCTTGTAGCGAACCCTTCTGAAACAAATATCCCCTCATCGACCTTTCAATCTTTCGATGTGGGTTTACTCCGCTGGTCGATCAACAAAATTTTTACCAACTCCAAACCTCACGCGCAGGTTCGAATTCTTATTAAAAGGGCCGCCACGATCGACGCCACTTGCCCCTAATATAAAGTGCTATCTATGTATGTATACGGACACTTTAGAGCCTTCGAAGTCACCACCAAACCATGTAAGGAATCGATAAGTTTGCGCAGAAATACATACGTATACATCCTGGTCGAATGATTCAGCAGCATGACAGCTGCATCACAATGACTTAGTTATCTTGGAACTAAGGTCTATTAGGCCGCGTATCTAGGTCTATCACGCTCAAATATGTTGCTCATCCGATGTATTCTCTTACTATCGAGTAAGCTAGGGAAATGGGCACTCCGGGAACACCGTGGAGGAAACGGCGGAGGAATGAGGACACTGTGGAAGACATGATACATGTGGGATCTGTCGAAACCCTTCGACTGAGTTTAGAAACTCCCTCAGTAGCTTTACACCGCATAACCATCCTACCGTCAAAGATCTCATCTTTTCTTCGGAACTCAATTCGGTCTGGAAAGGGAACTTAGAGGGTACAAGGGTCACCTCTATCTCTCTGAATATTAAGCCTTCGGGGTCGAGAGTGGGGGAAATGTCCATCTTGCTATCCGTCTCCCACAGTTCATTGCATTACTTCCACACATTCAGTGTCAAGTACACTGGGCAGTAACTAGACATGACCTTGCCCCTCCCACCCGCCGATATACCTCAGGACCAACATGCTAATTATACAAGGATATAAACTTCATTTCAAACACCAACTCCGGCCCACTTGCTTGCCTCCAACTGAAGGAAATTGGCGATACAATTATAAAACCAAACCAAAAACCGGAAGGAAAAGCCATCTTCTAAAATGCTTTAAAAATAAAAAGTAACACCCCAACCGGTCCCCAATGCAAACCTCTAACAAAACACCGCCATATATACATCCATACATGCATTGTTCTTAATTTACTTACATTTGACTAACCTTTGTCTTTCCTCCAGACTTGATAGGAATGTTTATTCCCACCTTTCACACTAGAAATTTCCCACCACGCCCAAGCGATTTCTCTTTAAACCTCAACTTCTTCTCCTCCTCCTTCTTTGAACCTTAGGCGCTAGTTTTTGGATTCGGATTATCCTTCTTAGGTGTTCTTTATCTCTGTCTTCTTTAGCCGCTTCTCCAAACCTCCTCCTCCTCCTCAAACAATAGATCTACTTTGATCTATCCCTCCAGTTCGTCTTTTCTCGAACTGTCGTATTGATCCTGAGAGGACCTCTCCTTCAAAGCCTTTTGTCTTTCTTCTCGTTTTCGGTGGTGTTCCTTAAGTTGGTCTTTCAAGTTTCGACCAACAAAGCTATCATCTCGAACCTCGTGCATACGTCGGGATAGAATGTCGTGCCAAACCCGAGAATTCACACGATCCGACGAGCGTGAACTGACACTATGGGTATCGAATTTTTTTACTGGTTCCAAATCCTCCCATCCTTCCTCCAATGAACCGAGAATTTCGACATCATCCCTGTTGGTTTCCCTTCTCATACCCCTAATATGTGGCGTTTTGTTGGTGTTCCTAACCCACAGTCCCTTAGTCTTGTCAAGGCGTCCCAGTAACTCTGACTCCTCAAATCCCTTGTCGAGGGCCAACCGAATTATCCCGTTGCGCATTTCCTCCTTCTTGCAAACCCGACACAATTTCAACATTTCGCGGAAAGCCCTGATATCCGCAGGCATACCTAATCCGTGGCGGTTCCACTCTCTATCCCGCCTCATAATATCCCTCCAACAACGCAGTCCTCGGTCCCACTCTTTCATTTCCCTCCACATCCGCATAATAGATGTATACAACGGGATACTTGGTTTCGGATCATCCGGGCATTCCCTCGACATTGCACGTGTATAAACCCTTACCTGTTGCGCCTTTCCGAAACGAGCAGCACCATGAATCAACGCCTCCAGGGTCAACTTTCCCCGTCTCTTCTGCTCTCTAGTTTTCACGGTTCGGTTTTTCCCAAAGCCCCACCACCGGGCCATATTTCTCTCACTCGTGATTTTGGCGATACGTTCAAACCCTTCCCAATCGGCGGTTTTGACGCAGAGATTGATCATGCGAACCACTGTGTCTTCGTTGGGTTTTCCTCCAGGGCCGAGGCCTCCTTCGAGCATATTTCGGAACACGATGTGAGCGAGGGAGCCATTACGGACACGTGTGAGTCGTTCAATGAGAATGTTGTAAGTCTGTATATTTGGGGGGTGTGGAGAATTGAGTAGGTTGTAACAGATTCTCGCGATGAGCGCCGGGGAAGGAGGGCGGGTGCCTAGTAAGCGCAAAAGGGATTGATTGAGAGTACTATTATAAGGACTTGTGGAATAACTTGGGAAGGGGGACATGTAGGGCATAAAAATGGGGTTCTGGTTTTTCTTCGAAGGATCTAGACTGATATCTGCGGCAGAAACAGGTTCGGGCTCTGATTCGGATGGTAAATCATAATAGTGAGTAGAGATGTACACGAGGGTCTTGTCTAGCAAGGCCATTTCGTCTTCTAAAGATTTTTTGATATCCTCAATTTCTTGTTCCGATTCGGGGTTTCTTGTGACCACCTCATCCTCGTTTTTGTGGATCTGACGCTGTTGATTGGATAATTGCTTGATTTTCGCCCGTAGTTCTCGACTCAGACGATCATGCTCGAGGAATCGAGATGTCAATTGCGTAGTAGATTTTTCAATCTTAAGAATGGCCTCCTTTGAAATAAACCTCGGCTTGCGAACTGACCTTAGCTTATCCGGTGGGAGACGTGTGGGTGTTACCTGGTGTTCAGATTCTCCAGATTTGTTTCTGTTTTGGGGAAGCGGTGATAGTTGTATCGGTGAAGGTTGTATCGGCAGAGGTTGTATCGGCGGAGGTTGTATCGGCGGAGGTTGTAACGGTGAAGGCTTTAACTGTGAAGGTTGTAACAGTGAAGGTCGTAACAGTGAAGGTTGTCCTTTCGCCCCCGCGTCCTGAAGCCCATTTTCGTAAATCAAAGCCAATTTCTGTCTTCTCCTTCTCCGAGCCTTCGAACGTGTCTCTCTGACTTCACCGGACCCTATTGCCCCATTTCCGTCACCACCGCCAGCGCCCTTCTTCGTCGGCCCCGCATCCCCAGAGACAGCCGAGTAAAACCGTTTATAGAACTCTCCAAACTTATTCTTCAGCAAGCACTCGTCTGCCCTGTCAGACAATGCCCTATAAGAATAAGAGACCGCAATTGTTGATGTGAAACCGCCGCAGGATGGTCGAGTGAGAGAAGAAGAGGCTCTGAAAAGGAAAGGTTGCATATCTTCTCCTCCAGCGCCATTTGTTGATCAGACAAAAAGGTTGTAAGGATCTATGGTGATGACGTAGGGAGGCGGCGGGGGAGAGAGGGAGGGATGTGTGTGTGTGCGTGACAGGCGGGCGGAGAGCGGGGAGCGGTCAATTCATGACCAATTGAGGGCGTTGGGTGGTGGTAGTGGGGTGTTCCATAGATGATCATCCGATGTTGTATCGGCGGATTTTTTTTGGGTAGGGGCGATTTTTTTTTTCCTTCCTTATTTTGCTGAGTCAGGTGGGGTGAACGGAACTCCCCTCCTCTTGGCGGGTGCCGCGGGTATTCTGCGCCTCGCAGGACTGTGAGTGGGAAGTATCGAGGAATCTTTCTTGAAGATTATAAAGGTAGAGAAGGATTCAATTCCAGGTGGAAATAATAATGTTACCGACAAGCGAATTCCGGAGGAATTTCTAACGAGTCTGCAGGCGGATGTAGAGTTTATAATTTAAGACCCCGGGATATTACCGCTCTTACAGCAAAATCAATTTATTGATATTTATCAAGGCCGCAATTTTATCTGGATTATTATTTTTGGCAGTAAATGGAATGGATTAATCTGGTACAAGTAATTATCTGTAGGTGTCACCACTTTTCACATAACGCAAACTATGTAGCTGTGTAGTTGATAGATATTCAGACTCTCATATGAATTCTTGGAAATAAGAGGATAGTTATTATGTATCTGCTTTTCTTGACTAGCTATAGCTGCTAAGAGATACTAAAAGAAAGAAAAGAAAGAAATTACAGGATAAAGAACTACAAAACTTATTGGTTACATGCATAGTGCGTCCGAAAACAGGATATAGAGCTGGAAATTATAAAAAAATCGGTTCTCAAAAAAAGAAGAGGTAATCGGGAAAAGAAAAGAAAAGACATGAATTTATTTCCTTCCCTTCTCCAGTATTTCTCTTATCTTCTCCCTCGCACCTATCGGTTTCCTCCCCAGCAGGACCTCCGACAGCGGGTCAACGATGTCGCCCTCTCCCGCCTCAAGCGCTTTGTAGATAGTCACAAAGGTCTTGACAATCTTCTCATTCTGACCAGCTTTCAGCGCCGCCAATACATACGCCTCCTCTGACACCTCGAACGACAATGGTTTCCCAGTGACCTCGGTGATGAGTTCGGCAATCTGGCGAAGAGTGAGAGTTGAGGAACCAGTCAAAAGAGCGATGGTATTTCGGTATTCTTTGCTGTTGCTGAGGAGTATTCGTGCGTTGGCTTCGGCAAGCTCTTCTCGTGAGATCCAGGATAGGGGGCCATCAGCAGGAACAACGACACGGGTAGTATCAGGAGTCCAATTGAGCATTATAGGGAAGCTTTCGGCATAGATGCCTTCGCGCAGGATTACATAGTTGATCCCTGATCTATTGAGTTTTAAATCCGTTAATTAGTAGATATCTTCGATCACTGATCTCAAAATTCTCTTACCTTTTGATGTACTCCTCAGTTTCCAAATGCAATTGCTGCACCTCTGACACGCTCTTGCTCTCAAACCCCCCATAGTAAGAGCTCGTGTAGTAAACGATTCCCACACCTGCTCTCTTTACTGCATCGATTGCATTTTTGTGTTGCACAATTCTCTTCTCATTATCAAAGACGTCCGTCGATATAATCAACACCTTTTCAGCGCCTACAAACGCTTCCTCTAGAATAGCAGAATCATCGTCGAAGTCGGCGTAGCGGAACTCGACTCCTGTTAAAGCTTTGAGATCGTCGGAGACTTTCCTCAGGTCGCGTGATGTGCCGATGATCTTTTTGGGCTTCTCCTGCTCTTGGTTAAAAGCGTGGAGGTGCTTGATGATGGAACTGCCTAGAGCGCCGGTTGCGCCGGTAACAACGATACTCATTTCTGAAGTTTTTGTGCGGTTTTGTGTGGAATACAGAGTCTGGATAGATGTTTTACGGATGAACCTTTTGAGGCGGGGCTCACTCTAAATAAAAACAACTTTTCTCCTTCGGGCGGGTATAGTATTCGTGCGTTATTTGTCAAATTATAGGCATGACATCGAAACAAAAACTTCCTGCAGGATGGTTGGTGGTGGCCCCATGTGGTGGTGTTGTCCCTGCGCATATATGCGGGGTACTAACCAAGGTGCGGGGTATCATTGGTGAATTTCATAAAATTTGCACGAAACTATTTCTGCTGAATAGCGTTTAACTGGAATTGTTTCAAGAGTCAAAAAAGTCCTAAAGTTGATCGATTTTGAGCCGGGGTTGTTCCCGGTGCAGCTCTGATACATGTTGCGAGTGATGTCCCATGACTCGTTATGGTTACTAAACTCGCCCCCACAGGTGTTTGATATCTCTTAACTTTTTGAAGTCAAAATAAGGTAATTTGTAAGATTACGGTATCCATAACCTCGGGGTATTACGTACATCCCGGGTTCAGTAGGAACTGATAGGCGCCCTAACCCTAGAAGGGAAATGTTGAAACGAAATTCCATTAGATATCATCAGGCTTCAGTCGAAATTCTTCGTATTCCATACCGCAGACAAAAACAATTCTGAACTAGAAAAGGTTGTCCGTCCATACGGACATGTGTCCGGTGCTGGAGTCATTGAGCCGAAGCGCTCATGCTGGCAAAAGGAACATTCTGCTTCGTACCGGGCTGTAACGCAACCAAATATGCCTGGACGGGCCGTAGGAAAGCATCACAAGAAGTCACTCGAATTACCATTAGGCTCAGCGGTTATCGAAGTTGATGCAGAAAGAATCGAGATGTAAGATTCATACTATCTTCTTGTTAGCGTTTCCACGGATAAAGAAGAGTGGATCGTGGAGTTGGATCAGGAACGCATAAGCATAGAGTGGCTTGCAGCTATTATTTAGTGAAGTGGACCTTTCTTGGAGTTAAGACTTTTGTTTGTTGTTTTTTACACAAGGCGCTTTCCCCCTCATCGACGTGGCAGCTTAGTGCGATCTCCTGATCACAGGTGATCACTCGCACACTTGTTTTTTTCCCTTAGCACTAAACAAGCCGCATGGCCAGCGCGTCAAGACAACGAATAGATATAATCATAATCAGCAAGACTCGATTGTTATAGCCTGAAATAATTGAGTGCTTAAAGGACTTTGCATCTTTAACCGGACCTTCCCGGACCGTTGTGATGGTGTTATTATGGTAGGAACAATTCTTCTCCGACATATTCCTTAAGCTGTGTATGTGCTAGAAACAATACGTAAATGTTTTTCGATCATCATGAATTATGATATCTGCGCGGGCGCGGAGTGTGTGTGTTGGCTTTGGTTCAGGAGTGATCATGAGTTGAGTCGAGCCTGATGTCCGGTGCTCTGCGATTTCATCCTTGGCACAACAGGAATTGCCAACCTAATCAACCCTAACCCTGGCGGATGCGGTTCGCATCGCATTTAGACGGAGTTGGTGAGCTGTTGCTTAATTTCCGGCAGCTATCTGGATCTTGAAATCAAGAAAAGAAGATTCGCTACTGTACGCATCTCTGAATGGAATGGGAAGGTTGAATGGTGACGCATTTGCCATGTGATAATATGCAGACACGATTAGCAACAGCCCAGACCACCGGCAGATAGACAGATGGAGTGATGGCTCATGAGATCTCATCTGTTTCCTGATCTTGTTATTTGCACCTAGATAGCTTCTCGACTATCTATGGGCTTCATCAGGCGCCCTGGCATAGTTCTTCAGATTGAGTTGGCGTTCGATTGGAGTAAACATAGTGGACGTTCGTCATTGAGCTTGATGAACAACTCAGCAATAATTAGAACTAAGACTCATCTCTGCAGCCCTGATCCGACCGCATATCGGGATGGAATCATACCTTTCAGATTTCAGTGAGTCCTGGAGTCACTAACTGTAGGCCAAAGCAGAGGTCGGGACTGTGATGTTTCTGAGTCCATGGAGTGGACTTGGACTCCAGATGGATCGGACAAGGTCAAGATGTGATTGGGGAAGCTTACCATGATAGATTCCGTTATGCCCTGTGACACGTATCTCCCACAGTGCACCTCATCGCCTGTACAGTATCTCCATATTATAACGCCGGAAAGTTAAAATTGACTTTCACTAGGGGTATTCAAAGTACGAGATGTAAAAACTCGCGGGAGCTGAGCCCCTAGGGGGTTTAATTAACGGGATTTGCTACCATGTACTGCACTAGCCACTCATAGCTAGGAAGATATCTCCATCATGATAGCATGCTCCCTCGGGACGGAGAAGGTACATGTAGTATGACTAGTATAAATTTTCATGCCTTTACACTTTGAATGCCTCGAATATGGCACAGCGTTTCCTATAAATATAAGCAAATTACATATCTGTTCTATTTGGTTTTGTGAATGTCGGGCATATGTATCTCGCAGTAGCTGGTCTCTTACACAACCGTCTTAACATGCATGATGACAGGCACAGGATTAGGAATAAAATACCAAGGAACAATATCAAGTACGCATAACTAGCCTGATACAAAGAAACGTTTCATTAAAATAGTCATTCGAAGTTGAAGAAAATTCACCTATAGATGTGTAGTTCACTCATGTGGTCGTATAAGGTGAATAATGTTTTGATTTGCAATTTGTATCTCCCCCGGTCCTTTGCTCAATAAAGCTAGCACAATAAATGTAGTAGAAGGTTAGACATCCCTCCAAATTAGATGAGGCAAGGTATAACAAGTTATTCATGTGTTAACTCTGTTTCACATTTGAAATTGAGCTAACCGATATCATTCTCTTGGCTTCATTTGCAGAGTCATGAATTCCAAATGCATTTATGCCCATGCCACATATATCTAGATCTGTAGGTTCAAACCAATTTGAACACAGACACAGCTAGTCTGATATTTCATATTCTCGGCCATAATAGTACATATTTTATAGGTGTGTTGTATGTACATGTAGTTTTTCTCTAAATTCAAAGCTTCGAACGGGTGCCGATTTGCCAACGGCCGCGGGCATGTTAGATATGTTTTAGAGTAGCCTATAGCTATCCTCTC